TATGAACTTGAGGATAATTCTAAAATGTATTTCCTTGATACATTAGTTACTAATACTGGAGGTAAACTTGTTACGTTAGTTTACAGTGAACCCACATTCACAGGGTTGGGTTTACATTAGTTTTGTCCAAAAAACACAAACTGAATGCAATTAATACTATAATAAATAGAGCCTTAAATCTCTGTTCGGATTAAAAATTATTTGATACTGAAGTTAAGTTTCTGCACAAATATATATATATATATATATATATATATATATATATATATATATATATATATATATATATATATATATATATATATATATATATATATATATATATATATATATATATATATATATATATATATATATATATATTGTGACGATAATCTCTTTCAAGAGAGATTGAGCCTGCTCTTCCCTACACATTTACGTCGTTCAAGTACAAGATACTATATTGAAGATACGTCCACCAGTATCGCCAAACGTTTTGCCCAGGAAGCAAAGCGTACCTTGCACAACCCAACACACCGGCTTCCGCCCGCCGTCAACCAGCAAACTACTCATTCTCCGCCTGCCTGTTGCTGATTGGCTGGTGTGTCGCCGCACCTGCACTCACACCACTACATGAGTCGACGTCTGGTCCAGCAGCACGCCGTCTCTTCAGAATACCCCTGTGCTCCTTGGAGTTGACATCTCTCTATAGTAGACTAAGCCCTGGCTGTCGTGTACTAAGGGAGGTGGCAGCTTGAAGCCAGTATTCTCAGCACCTCACCTCACCTGCCTGATTTTATTTATATTAACTTACTTGTCTTAGAGTAAATTTTTCATTGCCAGTAATTATTCATGTTGTTTTGTTTGTTGACTTGTTTTGAATTTTACGAGATTGTCTTTATTCATATCTTGTTTTCTAGAGTAATTAAAATTTCATTGTTTATACTTTGTGTTTTGTGTGTCTTACCATTACCTTACCACAGACAAGAGGACAATCTTCTTTTTTTTCTTTTTTGTTATGTGACGAGGCCCTGCCCCCAGCTATTGAAACAGCCGAACACCAACGCTTTACCGTCACTATATATATATATATATATATATATATATATATATATATATATATATATATATATATATATATATATATATATATATATATATATATATATATTATATTATATTATATATATATATATATATATATATATATATATATATATATATATATATATATATATATATATATATATATATATATATATATATATATATATATATATATATATATATATATATTTCTTAGTATATTTTGGTAGCAGTCTTTCCTGTAGACATATATTATTAAATATGACCGAAAAAGTAAGATTAATAATTCTAACACGAATTTTCTCAATCTTTCGTACATTTCTTTTCACTGTTGGAGGTAATTCAAAAATCAATTCTCGAAAATTCATTTTTATTTCTAGTCTGACGCGACACGAGCGCGTTTCGTAAAACTTATTACATTTTCAAAGACTTTAGTTTACAAATACACAACTGAATAGAACTTACGCATCTCCGATTTTGTTTATATCTACATTTGAGTGAGGTGGATGGGGTGAGGTGACATTAATAGGGTATTAATTTCATCAACACAAGACAGAACAAGAGGTGGCATTAATAGGGTATTAATTTCATCAACACAAGACAGAACACGAAACAATGGGTATTGAAATGGAAGTGATTGTAGAAAGCCTATTGGTCCATATTTCTTGATGCTTCTATATTGGAGCGGAGTCTTGAGGTGGGTAGAATATAGTTGTGCATTAATTGGCTGTTGATTGCTGGTGTTGACTTCTTGATGTGTAGTGCCTCACAGATGTCAAGCCGCCTGCTATCGCTGTATCTATCGATGATTTCTGTGTTGTTTACTAGGATTTCTCTGGCGATGGTTTGGTTGTGGGAAGAGATTATATGTTCCTTAATGGAGCCCTGTTGCTTATGCATCGTTAAACGCCTAGAAAGAGATGTTGTTGTCTTGCCTATATACTGGGTTTTTTGGAGCTTACAGTCCCCAAGAGGGCATTTGAAGGCATAGACGACGTTCATCTCTTTTAAAGCGTTCTGTTTTGTGTCTGGAGAGTTTCTCATGAGTAGGCTGGCCGTTTTTCTGGTTTTATAGTAAATCGTCAGTTGTATCCTCTGATTTTTGTCTGAAGGGATAACGTTTCTATTAACAATATCTTTCAGGACCCTTTCCTCCGTTTTATGAGCTGTGGAAAAGAAGTTCCTGTAAAATAGTCTAATAGGGGGTATAGGTGTTGTGTTGGTTGTCTCTTCAGAGGTTGCATGGCGTTTCACTTTCCTTCTTATGATGTCTTCGACGAAACCATTGGAGAAGCCGTTGTTGACTAGGACCTGCCTTAGTCGACGAAGAACTCTGTAGGGTAAGGCAGGTATTTATATTTAATAATATATGTCTACAGGAAAGACTGCTACCAATATATATATATATATATATATATATATATATATATATATATATATATATATATATATATATATATATGCACACTGCACATATCTTCAGTTTGAAATTACAACTTTTTATACCAAAAATATACCAATTACTGAAAACTACGATGAGTCAAATTTTACCCCCCTGCAGTTTTCAAAATATCAGAAATATCGCAAAACTGACTCATGATCGTTATTTTGGAGCCGAATTCTAGCTCACTGCATATATTTGCAATTTGAAAGGGGTTAGGTGAAGGGATGAGGTGAAGATGACGAAGTGAAGGGGTTGAGTTGAAAGGAATGAGGTCAATTTTGCAAGTATTTACCTACTTAAAATTTTCTTAGATTAAGGACCTGCCCGAAACGCTGCGCGTACTAGTGGCTTTACAAGACTGTAATTACCATTTCATGTATCCTCACATTCCCAATGTACCTTCTTGTATATGAATAAATAAATAAATAAATAAGGGGATGAGATGAAAGGGATAAGGTGAATTAAATACAAAAAATACAAATATTTATTCAGGTAAAGTATATACATACAAGGTGAAATACAAAAGTTGATTGATTCATAGATAGAGCTAGTACATACAATGCCTAAAGCCACTATTACGCAAAGCGTTTCGGGCAGGAAAAACACTAAGACTAAAACTTAATACTAATTGAGATTAAAGTATAAATTATGTTGAGAAAAAATCAGAAAAATATGAAAAAGGGGGGGGGGGAACATGGCAGAAAAAAACAAAAATACAATTTGGTCAACAAACAGCATTGTTTAAAATCGTAGACATGGGTTGACATTTAGGGGTGAGGTAGGTTATATTGCGTTAATTAGGTGGTACTTTTTTTTTTATCTTAAACTGGTTGGGAGAGGTACAGCCTTTAACATAATTGGGAAGGTCATTCCACATTCGAGGTCCCTTGATTTGTAAAGCATTTCTAGTTTGACTAAGTGGTACTCTTGGAATATCAAATAGGTATTTGTTTCTGGTGTGGTGCTCATGGGTTCTGTTACAACCTTCTAGGAGGCTTTTAAGGTCAGGATTGACATTACAGTTCAGCGTTTTATATATATAACATACACATGAGAGGATGCGCAGGGACTTAACATCTAACATATTCAGAGATTTGAGTAAGGGTACCGAGTGCTGTCTGGGGCCAGAGTTAGATATTGTCCTAATAGCAGCTTTGTGTTGAGTAATTAGAGGACGTAAATGATTTTGGGTAGTAGAACCCCAAGCACAAATACCATAGTTGAGATAAGGATAGATGAGAGAGTAATAGAATGTCACCAGGGCAGGGCGAGGTACATAATATCTGATATTGGAAAAAACGCCAACAGTTTTTGAAACATTTTTTTATATATTTAGAATGCGTCCCTGGAAATTCAGCTTGCGGTCAATGAGAACGCCAAGGAATTTGCCATCTACTTTGTTACAAATTTGGGCATTGTTAATCCTGAGATTTATTTGATTTGAGGATTTATTACCAAACAAAATATAGAAAGTTTTGTCAATATTAAGGGTGAGTTTGTTGGCAGTTAGCCAGTGATGGACTTTATTTAGCTCAGTATTCACTGTGACATTTAGAGCAAGGGGGTCAGGACTGGAGTAAATGAAGGTCGTGTCGTCAGCAGATAGAATTGGTTTGAGGTGTTGGGAGGCATTTGGGAGGTCATTAATGTAGATGAGAAAGAGGAGAAGGCCAAGAATGCTGCCCTGGGAAACACCAATGTTGATGGGTAGGGTGGGAGAAATTGAATTATTCACAGAAACATATTGGAGCCTGTCAGTAAGGTAAGACTTAAGGTACTGCAGGGAATGACCTCTGACTCCATAATGATGTAATTTAAGAAGAAGGTTTTGGTGGTTGACAGTGTCAAAAGCCTTACGCAGGTCCACAAATAACCCAATAGGGACCTCATTTTTATCAAGAGCTGCATGAATCAAGTTAATCATCATACAAATAAGTGCATCGTTAGTGTTTTTTGGGGGTCTGAAGCCATATTGACAAGAGCTAAGTATATTGTTTGGCTAGATAAGAGTAAAGCTGCTTGTAGATAAGTTTTTCAAATATTTTAGACAAGTTTGGCAGAATTGATATAAGTCTGAAGTTGTTAACATCAGTGAGATCACCACATTTGTGGACAGGGGTTACTCTCGCTTTTTTTTAGAATATCTGGAAAGATTTGGAGTTCAAGTGACTTGTTGTTAAGGAGTTAGGTGAAGATGATGAAGTGAAGGGGATGAGGTGAAGATGATAAGGTGAAGGGATGAAGTGATGGGTGTGAGGTCCATCATGCTGCCCGGCCCTGTACTGTAGTTGCCCCTAACCCACCAACAACAACAGTAGTTCCTAGTGAAGTTAGTCACGCCGTTTATAATCATTCCTTTACAATAGTAGTTTATATAATATTCTACTCTGTGTTAAACTTGGATTCCTTAGACTTGTTAAGAAACGTAAATTATAACAAAAAATGTCTTGTTAAACCTTAAATGTGGTTAAATTTAGAATACAAATTGTAGTGCGAGTCTAGCCATGGGAGGAAGTAGTGGCGGTGATGACCGGTGCTGGCGGCTCCAGTCTTGACGCACGCACTACGCAAGCTCTACGCAAGCACTACGCAAGCTCTACGCAAGCTCTACGCAAGCTCTACGTAAGCTCTACGCACGCACCTTACTGGAAAGATGTCACAACAATGTAGTTTGGAGAAGAGGTAGCGGCATGACGTCCAGCAGGACGAGGTTGTGACTTGTCCTGCAGAACTGCTGATGTAATAAACGGTCCTTTACCCGTTGTTGGTAGTGTTATCATGTAGGTATTTATTGTGTTTATTTATATACAAGAAGGTTATCCCAAGATATATATATATTCTAAACAATATATATATTTTCATAAACAAAGAGGATTTGTTTTAAGAATAACACCAATGTTATGTGAGAGTACATAACATTGGTGTTGGAGTGTTATATTCTTGCAAAGTCACTAGCAAATGGTCATGACTTGTCCAGGCAGAAACAGTGATATATGATTCTGTGTCACTGACCAGTTGTAAGGACTTTGCTTTGAGACGCGTGGCCCAGTCAGTCTCAAGTCGTACACAAGACCGACGAAGCTTGTTTTCTTATTGTTAAAACTATATATATTGTTAAGTTGGTAAGGTTAGAAATATTTTCAGATCTATTGACAAACCTTAAGAGATGATGTGGTGTGTGCTTAGTTATCAGTACTTGCCTATCAATGTCTTGGGTGAAGTGAGGTCTGGCTCTTTATGCCCCGCCTGCAAGCCTTGTTGTACTTGCTGCATTATAGCTTAAACTAATCTGACATTCAAATGTGTTGCTGAATCTGGTCTTCTAGTTGTGGATGGAAGTGCCTTTTATAACTTCACTCTGTGTATTCCACTGTTGACGACCCGTACAGGGTACGAGTATTTCCTTACATTTCTTCAATTTGTTTGTATTACCAGCTTCCACTTGTACTCTGTTGTCTTATTTTGTTTTCTGGTTTTAGATTGTATATCTACAAATACTCCATTATATCATGTTTCAAATGTCCTTTATATAAATGAAAATTATCATTATTATATACTAATGTATCACTCGCCTGTACAATCAAGCAACCTCCTTGTTTTGGCTAGGTTACACCTCAGTTGGAAATGCTTCAGTTTTGGCCATCTAAGCTTGTGAGACTAGAGTAGGGTCTTGCAGACACCATTTGTTAAGGTCCCATCTCCATCTCTACTGCAGATGATAATGCAGAGTTGCTTTTTCAGTGGGATTCTTAGCCATTTATAGATGTCATCCCATGCCAGATGGATGTGATGTCAACCATCAGAGTATTTAAGCTAGCTTACTCAACAGGTCTTTTGTGAGAAGTGGATCCAGGTAAAGTCCAACTTGTACCTGGATGCATGTTGCTTCCAACACGCCGAAGAAATATAAGAAAATTCACTTTTGCAAACAGAGTGGTAGACGGTTGGAACAAGTTAGGTGAGAAGGTGGTGGAGGCCAAGACCGTCAGTAGTTTCAAAGCGTTATATGACAAAGAGTGCTGGGAAGACGGGACACCACGAGCGTAGCTCTCATCCTGTAACTACACTTAGGTAATTACACTACAGTTCACACACAAAATATACCTAATCTAGCCAAACCTAACCCATGATAATGTGTGAAGCATATTATGTAGTGTTGGTGTATAAAACAGTTAGAAAATGTGATATACTGTATATAGTTTTTTAATGTATTATTTGTGAATGAAATGACCAGTGTCCAAAACTCCAATGAATGGTATGATCATACCCCCTTGTTCCTAACCAAAACTAATTAATTTCAACTAATCTGAACTCGATTATGTATATTACAAGTTGTCTTTAACTGTCGCATAACATATTCAGGCTGTTGTACATATAAAATGCACAGAAATTGTACACTTAATCTCAGCTTATATATACTGTATACTGTAAATAAATTTGAAGTGTTATTTAAATTTTGGAGCTTCATAGTAAAAACTTTCATAATGGAAGTACAGTACTAAATAAAAAGGATTTAATTTTGCCATCTTTTTAACTTTACAGTACATTGTGAAAGATTAAGGGAACATCATGGTACTGAATTCAAAATTAAAATCAATTGAATTTGAAAAACAGAACATTTAAGGTATACAGTATACCACTTCATTAATTTTTTAAATACGAATTGTACACAAGATATTTTTGCGAGGCTTTATCACCAATATCCATTGTGGGGAAACACATAGAAAGTATCCGTTGTGCAGTGGTAAGACACTTGCCTGGCGCTTCGCGAGTGCTTTGGCCTGGGTTCGTATCCTGGCCAGGGAGGATTGACCAGGTGCCAATCCTTAACTGTAGCTTCTGTTTAGCCAGCAATGAATTGCTGGGTAAACTTCCAACAAAAAATTTAACAACCAACCTGGTTGTTAAATGATTTGGCGGGTTGTATTCCATGAAAAATTAGGATTAAGGACTTGCCCGAAATGCTATGCGTGCTAGTGGCTGTACAAGAATGTAAGAACTTTTGTATATATATAAAAAACAAAAAATTAGGTAGAGCTTTGTTGAGTACTGAGTTACATGAGAATTGCTCGCAATGAACTAATGAATACAGCACTAAGCTCAGCCATTCACACATGAATAATCACCCCCAAAAACCTTATCTTACTTAGATTTTATCCAATAACTGATACTGTACTGTACTATTATATGGAAAGGCTAAGGGATATGTGGCTAGCTGCACTGGTACAGTAATAAAGCAACATGTCAGAAACTACTTGGTTGATAATACTGCTACTGAGGTGGTAATCTTAGTGCTAAATGGTTTGTCCACCATGTGTGGACTTGAGAAGTGTTCTAAGTACCTACTACAATGTGTAAATAATTACTTTTGTGAATACCAAAGTTGCATATAGTAAGGGTTGACTGTGTGGAGTTAATTTTATATTAAATGAGAGTTCAGTATTCAATCCAATTTACAGGAAAAAGAGAAAATGTGAAGATAAAAATAAATAAATACTGTACTCCGTGCAGTTGAAGAAAGAAGATGGAGTGAATTTAAGGAATTATGGAAAAGAACAAATGTTTGGGAAAATGAAGTTCTTGATACAAGGATGCTGTAGTGTCTTGAGCTGTTGCCTTAAGTAAGACTTCAACATACCTTATTATCTTTTCAGAGTTGTTAATACAGTATTGCTGTTAATTTTGCCGCAAGAAAATGGGTTTGCAGGACTTAATATCGTCGTTAGCAGAAAATCCTTACTTTAGTGCTGGCTTTGGGTTGTTCGGAGTTGGAGCTGGAGCAGCTATATTGAGAAGAGGCTACATGGTAAGTGTGTTGCTCATTTGAGCTATTATTATTTGCATATTTTCAGTTGTTTCTGTACAGTAGTCTATATATTTGGCCATTCAGTCAAAAACGAGCTAGTAATGATGCACAGTATCTTAATAAATGTTTAATATTATTTAAATTAACCAATAAATGACCTACTGGCATTAGCAATTGGCAACACTATAATGAAAAGTTCTTTAGCAGCCTTGATACCAAATTGGCATTGCTAGTTATTATAAATCAATTTGTTAGCTGCATGAATTGTTTGTATTCGTCAATAAAATAATCACATCATAGGATGTGTTAATTATCTGGAATGGTTTGAAAGAAGCTATATCATGAATTTTGTGATTTTGGACATGGTGCCTGGTATCAAAATGTTGTCCTAATATGTGTGACGTTGTCAATGTTCTTTTACCTAACCTGTACAGTATAAATAATTTTTGCTTTAGTAACATTATTTATGTGTAAGATTTTATGAATACACTATTCAATCATTTTGCTGTGACATTCAACTATACAGTATTTACCAGATTCATAACAATCTGGTAAAATCTTTACCAGTCCGCGTGGTGCAGTGGTAAGACACTCGCCTGGCATTCTGCGAGCGCTTTGTCATGGGTTCGTATCCTGGCCGGGGAGGATTTACTGGGCACAAATCCTTAACTGTAGCCTCTGTTTAACTCAACAGTAAAATGTGTACTTGGTTGTAAAAACGATTCTATGTGGCGGGGATCGTATTCCAGGGACCTGCCTGAAACACTACGCGTACTAGGGGTTGTACAAGAATGTAACAACTCATGTATATATATCTCAAAAAAAAAAAAAAATAGATTTAATGTACAGTACTGAGTTGCATTTCATGAAGATTGAATTTGTCTTGAGCTGAGAATTGAGCTTCACTATGAATGAAAACAAATTGGGGTTATTTTGAAACAGGTTTACAAAATTTGTTTTAATAATAATATAGTTGCTGCCATCTCATATGGGTGTCATCTCATTTGAATGTTTTTTCTGTAAGTTCATTGCCAGTGTTGGCACTTTGTGTATCAAAGGGTCACTTGAAGAAAGGTTTGAGCGATCTGAAGGGTCTTTGTGTGTTATAGTGACTGTCTACCTTGTTGGTGTTATGAGTTATGCTCTCCCTGTGAGCTTCATGCCAGGGCAAGACTGCATGAAAAGATCTTTGATATGTTGGGGAGTGAGTCACTCAGGGCCAGGTGGTAAGTGTTTGTCATCTTAAATCAAGTTCATAATTCAAGGAACTCTACCAAAAAAGTGCTTAGAAAGGGTTGTTTCATATCATTATATTATTCTTCCAAAGCAGTTTCTCTTACTGCATTCAAGAAATATTTGCATATGTTGTAAACCAGAATATTTTCTTTCTCGGTTTTGACAGATGGGAATGATCCTGTTCCGGCGCCACTATATGACAACCCTTGAGGTGCCATGTCGTGATAAATCATATCAGTGGCTGCTTCAGTGGATCACTCTTAAAGGTGCAAGGAAAACTCAGCATCTTAGTGTAGAAACAAAGTTTCAACAAATAGAAACTGGTAAAATTACTACTCGTCATGATTTTATACCCAGCGTTGGAGAACACTTTTTTTGGTAAGTATAAAATGTTATCTTGAGCACTGTACTATATGTGCTTAGCACTGTCTTAGACAATTTTGCTATAATATTTGTAAAATAGAAGAATATTAGTGTGGACTCGTCCATGTCTGCAACAAAATTCCATAAACTATTTTCTTTTATTTGACGGCATCTTTAAGATATTGTGTGATGAAGGTGTTTAGCTTTCTACTTATCTCAGATCAAAATGGGCTGATGCTTTCTTGGTTTGTATATATTCTACCGTAATCAGCCAAAAAAAAAGGTGTTATTTTTTAGCTAAAATTTCATGTCTTATATGATAAAATTTGTTTGGTAAAGTCACATTTGCTTACAAAAGAAAAGATGTATAGACTACACCCATCCAATAACACTGTGAGACTTGAGATTATAATTTACTCTATAAAATTTGACAGTACAATATAAAACCAAATTGCTATAATACATAGGATGGCATTATGAGCTGTGTTCTGACAGCCACTGTGGAAGATTATATGCTTTATGTACTGGGAATGTGACAAATTGTTCTGTAGAAAGTTCTATATCTTAGACATTTACATCTCTGGTATATACCTGTACTAAAACAGATCCACCTTTGTTTTGTCATTAGCCAATGTTTATTATGTTGCCTAATTATTAGCCAGAAGTAATCAACATGTGAGTAAACTAGAGATGAGAATGACCAAGAACTATTATCAGACTGTGTCACTACTGGCCTATTGTTCATTTTCTCTATAATGTTTGGTTTCTGAGTCTCCACAAAAGGGCACTTTGGCACCCCATGTAAGGATGCCTCATATTGTCTTTTTCATTTTTGTTTTCTTTCTTCTGATAGGTTTTGTTCAATATCTTAAGAATTTGCTTCATCCTATTGGCTTGAAATTTTAAATACTCAAGTTCAAGGACACAATTGTGACTGGTGTTGAAATTGAGCATTGTAGTCCTATAGCATCTTATTCTTTAACGTGCATATTCTTGCGAAATCCTGATCATATTGCCTTGACACGAACACCACTTGCATACAGCATAGGTAATCGAGACAAGGTTATGCTACATACCCATAAGTGAAGAGGTGGGCCCCAAGATATGATTCTCGCAACTTGAAAATACACACTGTAGTAGGAAAAAGCACACAACACAACCACACAACACCTTCACCACTACCACTTTGCACACAACCATACACACATCCGTACTCCCAATCTCATACTCCCTCTCTCTCCAGCCACTATCAGACACTCCTCAGACCATATACCCACACCCATCTGTCCACTGTACCTAAACCATATCGTACTAAACTGTAGATGCAAGTACATCTAGGTGAGTACTGTATATACATCTATCTACCCCATCCACACCCATTCACTCCATCCACGCCCTTTCACTCTCCCTCATCCACCCACCCTACACACACCAATACTTGATACCAATAACTTAGATTGGCATGCATAAAAGTTGACTGCATTATACTCCAAAAAATTATACATTTTTGTGAATGTATAATACAATACAGGTGACGTACATATTATTATGTGGAACCATAAGTTTACTGAACAGAGTGATGTGCTGTATGTCTTGGGACTAGTTAGAATTAATTAAATTTTAACTACACCACATTGTAATTATTAGTCAAATAATCCTCTGTTAAAAGATGACATTGTGGTTAATATCTCATTCTGTTGGGAGCCCATTCGGCTCCCAGGAGCTATCGGGCTAATATGTAATTCATTAGATCAGGGCATTAGTCATAGGAGTTCAGCCTACCTGGGACCACCAGCCAGAACCTGGCCCCCTCAGAGAGGCACAGGGAGCAATGGCCCTGGAAAAAAACCCTGTGGTTGGGGGTTTTCCTTATCTGCCATCGACCGAGCTTAGGCACCCAGAAGGGAAGGCATTACAAAATAGACCCCAAATGGTAAGAAAATTGCAACTGAAAACTGAACAGAGAGGCAGAACTCCCTCCAATCCCCAGGAAACAAGCAAACAAGCAAACATCACACCCCACCACCGTGCTGCTCATCCACGCAGCCCCCCCCCCCTTTCGCTGGCGACCCAGCAATTCCAGTTCGCCGGCTAATGCAATCCAGGGCGATCGTCATCTCTGGCCTCGATTTCCTATGCAGTGTTTTGCCTTAGTGGTGTCCTCTACTGTTCGTGGTGTGGTGGCCAGGTGTACCTGAAGTGTTTCTTGGGGAGGGGGGGGTTCCCGGGCCACTTGACGGTTGCTCGAGCAGTTGTGCAGGAGTTTGAACTTCGCCATGGTCATTTACCCGCTGGGTCGGGTTTGGCTTCAGTGTCTGTTTTGGTTCCTTCGGGAATGCCCTTTCTGCGCCTCTCGCAATCACTGTGTTTGGCCTCCAGGGGTCTTGTGTCGATTGTTGTGTTGCCTGTTTTCTCTTCGGGTTTTTCAGGGTTCAGTAGCTTGACGCCTACCCGAGCCCTCGCTCGATGTATTCACGGAGACATAGTCTCTCGGCTGGGGCTTTGTGACCAGTGCTCACCAGGCTGGCCAATGGCGGTGGAGTCTGTCGTTCTATCGTGTTCACAGCACGGTGCATGATTTCGCAGCGGTCTGGCTGTCGCTTCGGAGGGTTCGGGTCGCTCAGGGTTCGATGGTTCGGCTCCATTCGGACTGTTTTCCAGTGGTTCATTGCCTGATCCACGGGGGTTCTCTTTGGGGCTGGTCGCTTCAAGTGGCTCGTCTGCTGGTTTCTCAGGGTTTGGCTCTCAATGCTGTTCACAACCGGGGAGTGTCCAGTGTCCTGGTGGACGGCCTATCTTGGTTCATTCCCCTGTCCACGGAATGAACAGTCTATGCCAACTCCTTCAGTTGGCTCTGCTGGACGTACAGGCTCTCAGAGGTGGCCCTCTTTGTGTCGGCTTGGTTGAGGCGTCTCCCGATATATGTGGCACCCTTCCCCGACCGCAGGGCATTCGCGGTGGACACCTTTTGGCAGGACTGGTTGAGTTGGGGTTACCAGTTCCTCTTCCCCCAGGTCCAGCTGTTGCTTTGGGTTCTGGCTCAGTTGGAGTTTTACCACAGGAGAGTAGTTCTCTTAGCCCCTTGGTAGCTGGCTCAGCCTAGATTTCAGGCGCTGCTTGCTCGGTGTCCGAACCTGGGGCGCTTTCCATGGCTCCGCCTCCTCCAGCCGATCGTACCGGTCCAGTACATGGCTGGTTCGGTCTTCTCCTCCGTTCTTTGCGTCTGGTCTTTTTGACGCGGGTTTATCACCATTTGCATGGTGATCAGGTGGCTTCGTTGATGGTGTCCCACCTGAGAGCTTCGTCTCAGCGGCATTATGAAGTTTCCTGGTGTTTTTTCCACCATTTTCTCTCTCTTCGTAGGTCGACTTCTATTTCTGCTCAGGTTGTCTTGTCTTTTCTGTCTTGGCTTTTTCAGGATTGTCATCTAATGCCTAATAATGTTGCCTCATATCAAGTAGCACTGGTGGAGCCGCTGCAGCTTGCGTTCGGGGTGGATGTCACTTCTGCCTCGTTCCGGAAGCTTTTTCGTGCTTTGTTTTACCTCCGGCCTGCTCATGCGCCTCTTAAGCTGTCCTGGTACTTGGACAGGATGCTCTCCTATCTCTCTTCTTCTCAGTTCGTGGTGGCCCTTTTGGTTCAAGATTGGTTTTCCTAGGGTCAATTTCTGTTGGTATTGGCCTCTGGGGGTTGGGTCTGTGAGCTTCATGCTCTCCTCCAGCGCAGGGGTTTCTGCTCCTTCGGTCCTGATAGTCGGTTTGTTCGGTCAGCCTTTTCCTTTTCTGGTGAAGAATGAGACGACTGCTTTCCGGAGGGGTCCTTGGGTCAAAGATACTTGGTTGGTCAGGCCTAGGGTGCATCATGTGTTAGTGTCCAGTTGCGGCTCTTCGCCATTACCTGTGCGCCTCGGCTTCTGTGGCTAGGGATGTGCTTTGGGTTGATCCGGTTTCCCTCATTCCAGTTCCAGGGCTTGGGGTCCCAGGTCGTCTGCAGGGTTATTAAGTTTAGCTAGCCTGCGGTCTATCTTCGTGCCCATGATGTTAGGAAGTTTGTGGCTTTGGCTGCTGTCTTCGGCAACATGTTTTGGGCTGATATTCGGACACGGGGATTTTGGAGGTCGAACAGAGTCCTGGCCGCCCGTTATTTGTTCAACATGCCTGGTCCTAGGCGTTCGTGTGTGGCTTTCGGTCGCAGGTTGCAGCCAGTTGCTTCGCCTTCGGGTTGAGGAGTGAGTGGCGGCCGCTTCCTGGGTAAGTCCCTCTCTTCCTTATCATTGGTTATATAGCTCCAGGGAGCTGAAGGGGCTCTCCACAGAAAACCAGCATTGAAAGTAATGAAATGCCATTTTCTGGGTGAGCCCCGGAGGCCCCCTGGCACCCTCCTTCCCTCCGCTAGGTGATTTTCTCGTTGTTTTGATACTTAGCCTCCGAACTGGAATGGCTGGGTCACCAGCACAGGGGATCCCCCCCTTCCCCTCCCGGAGGGGTGGGCTGCACGGACAAGCGGTGCAGTGGTGGAGTGTGACATTTGCTTGTTTCCAATGGATTAAAAGGAGTTCTGCCTCTCTGTTCGGTTTTCGGTTGCAGTTTTCTTACCATGTGGGGTCTGTTTTGTTATACCTTCCTTTCTGGGTGCCTAACTCTGGATGATGGTAGATAAAGAAAACCCTAACCACAGGGGGGGGGGGGTTCCAGGGTTATTGTTCCCTGTGTTTCTCTGAGGGGGGCCAGGTTCTGGCTCGTGGTCCCCAGTAAACTGAACTCCTATGACTAATACCCTGGTCTAATGAATTGCATATTAGCCCGATAGATCCAGGGAGCCTCCGGGGCTCACCCAGAAAATGACATTTCATTATATTCAACACTGTTTTTTCCTCAAGCTAGTTTATGGGTGAAAATCCACCTCAGCTAATTAATTGCATTGAACTGCTGCTTTCTCGAAAATATTTTTTAAATCATTATTGTATTGGTAAACATTGAAAGTTTTTGCAAAATATATATTTGCCCCTAAATTAGTTGCAGATTGAAGTACTTAGGCTGCCAAAATGGATGATTGCTGTGGCAGCCTAATTACCTCTTTTTTATTATTATTATTATTATTATTATTATTATTATTATTATTATTATTATTATTTTCTACCACAGACGTGGCCACACATTTACAATGCTAACCAGCATATATACATTTTCTTCTGTCCTCCATGGACAGGGTTAGAGAAGTGTTAAACATATAGTTCAAGGGTTTATTGAACACTCAACCACAGAAGGTGATTCGGTGCTTTTAAAATGCTAAGCTAACCTACATACGTAAATACATAGATACACAGATTTAGGTATGCCCTACATAAAGTGTTAGATGTGTCTTTTACATAGTGTCATTAATGTACATTCACAAAGGTGAAATGTAATTCTGATCAGCTTCCATATATACTTTATACCCATACATATACATACACACACACACACATATAATTACCTCATTCTACAACTGGATGAGTACAGAACACAAGGTGGCATTCAGTCAAATGCATGCTGCCTGCATCTTTAGTACAGGACCTTACTGTTACTATGATATCAGTGTGTAATGGACTAATTGAATTACATTCTTTTTCTTCATAATTGTTAACAATTGAAATACAGTATTGTATATTCAATGGTTAGAGTTGTATTTTACTTAGTAGTAATCATAGTAAGAACAGATAGAGTTAAGGCTTTATTAATACGTCTGAAAACTGTGATGGTGTATTACTACCAGGTATGGCAGGACTTGGTTAAAAGTGGAGCGCACAAGAGAACAGCACACGTTAGATCTGCAGCACGGTACTCCCTGGGAGAATGTTACTTTTACTGCATTTGGCAATCAGAAACAACTCTTTCTTGATATCATTTACGAAGGTGTGTATCAAATACTAGGCAAGCAAAATCAGACCACTGACTCTCCTGAGGATTAACCCTTTGCAGGTACTTCTTACACATCGGTATGTGTGTACTTCCTACACGCTGAAGCATTGGTAATCTAACAGGTCAATTCCCTTGATTACTCGTGACAACACAAAAACATTACTAATATAACAGGTCAATTTCCATAGTTACATGTTACTGTACAACTATTTACCATCTCAATTTCATTTCATGTTTGATAATTTTGCATCTAGAACGTAAGAAACTCATTTGGAAAAATATTCCCAACATCCAGAGCGGCCTCTGTGGCCCCTGAACGCACTTTGGGTTGACCCGGGTTCCCTCCGTCCTTGTTCCAGGGTTCGGGGGTCTCGGGACGGCTGCGGGGTCATTTGGTGTTGCAAGTTGTTTTGCTTTCGGGTTCGGGCGCGTGGTTTCCACCTCCCAGGATTGTCCCTCTTTTTGTCCTTGGCTTTGAGTAGTAAGCTCCGGGGAGCCAAAGGGGCATCCCCCAGAAAACCAGCATTGAATGTAATGAAACGCCATTTTCTCGGTGAGACCCAGAGGCTACCTTACCTCACCTTGAGGTGCTTCTGGGGCTTAGCGTCCCCGCGGCTCGGTCGTCGACCAGGCCTCCTGGTTGCTGGACTGATCAACCAGGAGGCCTGGTCGACGACCGGGCCTCGGGGACGCTAAGCCCCGAAAGCACCTCAAGGTAATGTAAGTTAGCCTCCGGGTCTCACCGAGAAAATGGCGTTTCATTACATTCAATGCTGGTTTTCTGGGGGATGCCCCTTTGGCTCCCCGGAGCTTACTACTCAAAGCCAAGGACAAAAAGAGGGACAATCCCGGGAGGGATTGTCCCCGGCTTCCCAGCATCCCTCCCTCCCTCCCCCCCTGTCAGCATTTTTTTGTGTGTTTTGATATCCAGCCTCGAACTGGGGTGTGGATAGCCGGCGCAAGGGGTCTGGGGCTCCCTTTTCCCCCCTCCCAGGAAGGGGGAGGGGAAACTGTGCAGACAAGCGGCGCAGCACATGTGATTCATGCTCGTTCGCTCGTTTTTAATTGGGGAGTTCTGTCCACTCATTAGTTTTCAGTAGTATTTTTAACCAGAATAGGGGTTTGTTTTGAGGTGCTTACCTTTCTGGGTGCCTGGCCTGGTCGATGGCAGACACAGAATGCTTCAAATCACATGTGCACTTCTATAGGACATTGCTCCTCGTGCCTCTCTGAGGGTGCCAGGTTCTGGCTTGTGGTCCCCCCGGTAGGCCTAGAACTCCATTCACACTGACTGATGCCTAAGTCTAATAATATACATATCAGCCTGGATAGCTCTGGGGAGCCTCTGGGTCTCACCCAGAAAATGGGGTTTCATTACATTCAATGCTGATTTTTTTAGGTCTGCAACTGGCTTATATTTTAACCTTAAATTTTTTTTTTGTTGAACAGTGGGCTCAAGATATCAGTGGACACTTGTGTACATATATACACAGTCGCTGTGTGTTTATCATGGTTCAATTAGTGCCTCATATTCCATTTCTTGTTCAGTTTTTGTGGACTTTATTCTGGAATGTATGTGTTTTGTGGTGGGTACACACACACTGTTTTAACTCTGTACTGGCCTGGCCCCTCGCCACACGCCTGCACGTAAACACTCAAGTTATTTATTTGGTTACAACTATGGATTTGTGTCAGAATTTGAAAATAAATGCTCTAGAATACTGAAAAAAGGTACAGTATATATATATACTTATTTATTTTGATTGTAAAGCCAAATTCTTTCACCCCTCCCATTTGTTGAGCAGTCCTGATATCAGGGTACGCAAAACACCATAATAAAAATACAAAATATATAATTTCCATAAAATAAGACTGCATTAGAAAAATAAAACTTCATATAGTTAATGTTTGTGAACAAACGCAAATCTGTGTTTCAGGTATAAAAGAACTTGGATCCGGGTAGAGCGTTCAAGATCACAGCAAACATTAGACCTACACATGGGGGTTCCATTTGAATCTGTTAAACTCACAGCTCTTGGCAAGAATAAGGATCTGTTCTTTGATATTTTGGAAGAGGGTCAGTGTGAAGTGCTTCCTTACCATTTTCCCCTTGTTAAAAAAAATAATGTACAGTACTGTAGTCAGATTAACTGATTAAGGATTTTGGCTTTTAGAGAAGAAATTCTAACAAATATTGATGATTTTAATTTCTTTATTTTTGACTATTATCCTATACCTTCTTCTAAATCTAATTTGATTGCATTTACCACATTGTGTTCCTTCTGAACACGATACATTCTCAGTCCGTTTCACCTCAGATTTGGTACAGTGTTCACCTATACTGTCTTGTTTTATTTTACGAATCTGTTTTATTTAATCATTTGTCTTATTACTGATAAGCATTCATTGTTCTTCGTTTCTCATATTGATTACTTTTAATACCAATCAGTTTTTCTATAACAAAAATATGTTTTCTGAGATATGGCACCTAGTTCCTCCTTAAGGTGAAGAATCTTCTGGCCCAGGGACAGGTATATACAATATACTTACTCAGGGCATGCCGACAATCTGCAGCCATGCAGAGATCTTTTTCAAACTGTCCCTGCAAAGTCATATTGTTGCTAGGAAGGTATGTGGTATGACATGTTGAAATTTAAATTTTCCTCAGTGAAATCAGCCCACACAACATGAGATATATTAGGGTATGAATGGTAATGCTCTTATTATGCTCCAGTCATGTTTTTGATGATTTTTGTAGATGGACTCAATAGGGCCACTCCAAGCAACGGCCTTTTTGACCAAGCTCTGATAAGTCAAGCCTGGTCCAGGGCCTGGCTTGGGGAGTAGAAGAAATCCCAGATCCTTATCCAGGTAGATTACAAGACACAGTTGAAGCCATGGTAAAGCTATTGAGGATATTTAAAACCAGATTCTGTGGTTTTTAATTTTGAGTTGGCAAGGTTTTCGTTCATTCAGGTATGTCCCTGCTACCTTTTGAAAATGATTTTTGAGGCTGGGGACATAAACTAAAAGTGGTTAAATTCATTTGCAGACATGTTCATTAGGTAGTTGTCTTTTATATTATAGGTTAAGATGAAAATTAATTCAGTCCACATTTGTGGGCTGAATTTCAGCAGTCATTTATCTGCTTATTCCTGAAGTTTCTCAGTCTTCTTCCAGCACACTACAGTCCTCTTCAGTTCTTACTCATTAACTTTGCATCATCTGCAAACTTCAACATTCTGCTTGTTGGTTACCTCTGGAATCTCTATTTCCTCAAAGCTCTAATGTATCAATAGAGCTGCTGCTCCTGCACTGCCCCCCCCCTTCCCCCCTTCCCCCTACACCCCTACCCTTCTCCCCCAACTGTGTATCCCTTCTTTTAAGTACAGTACTATCTGGTATCCTCTTGGGAATACTGTGTGAGCTCGGTTTTCTGAAGCCCGCTGAACCCAGTACTAGCACAGGTACAGTATTTGGGTTATCCTGCCAAAATTGCATCCAGATAATTTTCTGGCAAAACTTCACCATATGGACAGAATTTAAGATAACCAGAGATTAGGTAACATTAATTTTCAAGAACTACACATTTCAAGATCTACAATATTAAACAAGAAGGAAAACTTCAAGATAAGCTAAAGCTTCTGTTTTAAATTATACTTTTGATTTATAGTGTGTGTAAATTTGAATTGTTGGTTGTGATACAAAAAATTGTAAAAGTGGTAATTTTTGGACTTTCCCGGTAAGAATTGTGCTTTTCTGGATGTCTGGCTTATCCAGTGAGGAAGTCCTTCCCATATAGCCTGGATAAGTGAGCTTAGACAGTATTTCATCGTCTTTAGCATTTGTTACACACAGAAATCACAATAGCGTGATGCATCAAATGAACAAATCCACAAGGGCCATATATAAAAGGTTCGAACCCTCGTCACGGCCCTTGTGGATTTGTTCATTTAGCATTTGTCATTACATTAACCATTGATGGCTAATTTATTGTGCACCCCATACTCATCTTAATTATGTGACAAGATCGTTTGAAAAATTACCGTCCATGGTGGGATTGATAACTGTACTTAATATTAGCATGTGTACCAAGTCCTGGGTAGACCATAAGGCACTAGCTAGGGAAGCAACTGGCCCTCAAAACTGAGAGGGTCACCCTGCAGTTTTTAATTTAGTAGAATGCAATCTGATCTAATCCTTTCAATTCAATGAATATATTAACATTTTATTTTTATTTTTTTACAGCTCGTGACTTGGCAGTAAAACAAAATGAGGGGAAAACCATAATGTACACTGCTCTTGGTGCAGAGTGGCGACAGTTTGGCAATCCTCGGAAACCTCGTCCACTAAGCTCTGTTGTGCTAGATAAGGGAGTGTCTGACAAGATTGTAAAGGATGTTCAGGAATTTATGGATAATCCTGAATGGTACTCCAGCAGAGGTGAGATATGCACCTGCTTTGATTCTCTGATTCAGATAAACAGTACCATAAAGGTTATCAGTAACTTTTATTTTAAAAAACAAAAGTACATTCATGCATTGTATGTCATTTAGTAATTTATTAAATTTTTTAATGTTGCTAAGACATACTCTCTCCCATGTCAACTAAGGAAGAATAAGATACAGTATAAGGTATTATATACTGGTACAGTATTTAAATTTCTTGAATTACAAGAATATTCATTATTTGGTGACTGGTGCAGGGTGGGTAGACTCCCACAGACATAAAAGCATCACAAGTATAGATCGTTACACCATACTGAATGACAAGACATCCTCAGTGCTTTATCAGGTTCCTAAATCTCAAAATAATAATAATTCAAAAATAATTATTTTACATACATAAATGCATATTGATTGGCCTCTCGCTCTATTGGGCAAATTGAGACTGGAGCTGTTGCGTTTTACCATTCCGGTACCCCAAGGGTTTTCCCACTTTTGGCTTTTTTTTCAAAATGTTTTGCATTTTTCTGACAAACTGATACAACACATATTTGTATATACAGTAGTACATAAATAACAAAATCATATACACTATACACAATTCATTTTAAATATACAGTGGTACACACAGAAATCACAATAGCGTGATATATCAAATGAACATCATCACAGCCCTTGTGGATTTGTTTACAGTGGTACCTTCGTTTATGAATTTAATTCGTTCCCAGAGATGGCTCGTAACCCAAAACTAATTTTCCCATAAGAAATATTGTAACTTGAATTAATCCGTTCCACACTCCGAAAAATATTAACTTCAAAATATATTTCATAGATAATAAACACAAATATTTTGTACTATAGTATGTACAAGTTATAGCTTACCTTTATTGATGACAATTGTTGGCATATGGAAGATGGTGAGAAGGGGGGTGGGGGCAGGAGGGGAGGTGTTACTGTTTGGAAGGGGAGTCCCCTTCTATTATAACATCAGGCAGTGATGACTTCTCTGGGGGTACACTCTCTCTCTCCTACGTTTTGCCTGCATACCACTAGGACCTGGTTGTGGCTCACTGCTTGTTTGTCTCGCTAAGAATCTTTCCATGGAGACTTGTTTTTCCTCTATGTCATCTTCACATGTATTTTCGTAGGTTAAACCCTACCACTGACTTTCTTGGGATCCATGGTATGGTATATAATAATTACTTTTATATTTAGAAACAAAAAAAGTTGAAAAAAAAAAATGAAATTCTTTGCAAAGAATTCAAGCGCAATCGTCACTACGCAGGTGTGGTCGCCCATTCCACCAGGAACCAAACGCTCGGTTGACCCACACGTGTATTAACAAACTCCCAACTCGAGGCAAAGCTCGTGAACTGAATCGAATTTTATGACAAAATTGAACTCGTAACCCCAAAAGTTCGTAAATAGGGGCATTCATATGCCGAGGTTCCACTGTATAGGAAAGTAAAATACAGCAGATGAAAAAAATCTAATTTAAGGAAAAAGGGGGGAGAAAATTGTATTTGTTACTTGGAGAAATGATGATTAATTCCCACGTTTAACCACTCAAATGTGCAGGGCCTTAAAAGAAAAGTGGGGGGGCAAAATTAGTGAAAGTTGTTGAAGGAAACTTCATTATACAGCATGTATAGGAGAACACACGTGAAAGGGAGGCACTCTTGAGAGTTGGGCTTTTTTTTTTTAAATAGGCTATACAGTATTTTAATGTTTTTTAATGTTTTCATCACTCTTTGTTATTTGAAATGAAAATGGTTGAGTTTGGAAACATTTTGACATTAACTTACCTGAACATTTATAAAAACAACAAAAATATGTCCTTAATAATTACACTATGAAGTTTTTGCCCCAAACAGATGTGCAGTGCACGGATTAATGTGTAAATTTTACTTAAGAAAATTCTAATTTCATTATATCAAAGAAAATTCTAATTTCATTATATCATGTGATGATATTTTGCATTATAACTACAGAAAACCAACTTTAGAATTTGGTTTTAATTATGTTCAACAGCTTTTCCATGACACTACCTCCTTTTTTAAGAACGTTCCTCATTAGGAAACATTTTCAAAACTCATTTGGAGCAATACTTAAGGAGATACCATTAATAACCTTCATTTTCCCAAATTTCATGAGGATATTTTATGAAATAAAATCATATTTTATCATGTAATGTGATAGATGTGATTAGTATATAAATTTCATCAAGTTTGCCAATTTTCCCCATGCTAATGACCAACACTCTAACCACAGCCATCACTATCACCATTACAACCATAACCATTTCAACCACCACCACCTGACAGTACAAAAACCATTAAAACTTGCTGAACTTCTTACAGCTGACTGTAATCAATGCCCACCATCCGCTCACAACACTTCACTGTTCATATCTAGACATACCGTCGCAGGAAGACAGTTCTCCATCATCTTCATGTAGTTTAAACATTTATTTATACTTTAATTTGTTCCTTAGCTTAAAATGCTTCTTTGATTATGGCTAAAATTGCCTTTGGCGAGTCCTAGTGAGGGATGGTTAAATTTGAGTAAGATAAAGGCCTTGTGAGATTTTCTTTTATTTATCCCTGTTATGTTTTCTTAGGAATCCCGTACAGACGTGGGTACCTGCTTCACGGACCCCCTGGATGTGGCAAGAGCTCCTTCATCACGGCTCTGGCTGGAGAATTACAACTTGGAATTTGTGTTCTTAACCTGAGTGAACGAGGTCTCACTGATGACAGACTTAACCACTTGTTAGCCCTGGCTCCAGAGGTTTGTGGTATTTATTAGAAGTTTGTGATATTTATTAATTCCAAATTTACTGTTTAAACAGGGGTTCATGCAGTACATGGATGGTCTTCACTAAACTGGTGTCACATACATAATGTGATGAGGGGAAGGGAGCGGGTAAAGGGGGTAAAGTTTAGCAGGCCATCCACTATGGCTTAGTAGTTGGTGTTGATACTGCAGTGTGAGTTTTGTCTTAATACCTTGGAAGGGAAGCATGCAACAATATATAAATTAATCGGTGGGGAGATGAACAACCCTGAAGGGTGTGTGATGATGGACTTCCTACTTCCACCCTGTAGGAAGTAAAGTGGCGGGACTATAGGTTCAATGTTGTGGCAGCAAGTAGTGATTGTAGATAAGTCACCAAATTCAGGAAATACATTTATGAAGCAGTTACTTTGGATTCTGTAGGTTACAGTTAAGTGGAATGAATACAGATGTAATAAACTTGTCATTTTCTTTACAGAACACGATCATTCTCCTTGAAGATGTTGATTCAGCTTTTGCCAGTAGAGAGGAGACTGCAGAGGGTGAGTACTCTTTCTCTGTAAAATGTATGGTCATAATTTCATACATTTTTATGTATGATTTTTGTAGGATAAGACCAAAAATAATGTTTCAGCCAAGTGTAACGGCCTTCATGTTAACCTATTAGCATCTACCTAGTCTGTAGATAATACAGTGTAGTATTAAATCCTAAAAGTAATTCTATGCACTATAATGAAAAAGTATTTGGGGGCAGTTCTTACCTTTGCTGAACAGAACAGTATTCTTGTCACCATGCAGTTGCAAAAGGTGTACAGTACAGCTTAAATTTTTTCTTATACATTATTTTTCAAGTGTAGATATGTATTTTGACATAAATAATTGTGTGGTATATTACTATAGCATTACAGATTAAAATATAAAAAATAATACTAATGCATATTTTCAGGGTAACCAGTTAACTTGGATTGTTTTCATCAATTTCAGCCTTCTCCTTTCTTTCTGGCTAAAAATGAGATGGGTGTTTTCCAGAGGGGTCCTCTGGTGAGTGATGCTTGGTCAATTCGGCTGGTTGTATCATTTATCTTGGCTGGTTGCTGCCATTCACGGTTGCCTCTATCTCGCATGGTTCATGGGAGAAGGGGACATTCTGTTTGTTAGGTCTCTGGAACCTAGGTGGTTCCTAGTTCCAGGGCCCATTTGTATCAAGTTCTAAGCAGTGTTATCAAGTTTAGCCACCCTGCAGTCTACCCTCAGGGCCCATGATGTTCATAAGTTTGTGGTTCTGCCAATATTTTTTTTTCCAATATATCTTGGGCAGATGTTCAAGCTCAGGGAAGTTTTGACGATCCAACAGGGTGCTGGTGGCTCATTATTTAGTGAATGTGCTTGATCCACCCCAAGTTTGTGTGGCTTTGAGGCAGTTAGCTTATTGCTGACTTCCCCTTTCCTGGGTGATTACTTTTTGCAATTCTCCTGTCACTTGAGACGAGTGCACATTTTTTATTTTTTTCCTGTGATGACATAGCACCAAGGAACCTTCGCAAAAAAACAGTGTTAAATATAATTTAATGTCTCCTTCTGGTGGACCCTTGGTGGCTCCTTGGGACTCTCCGTACCTCATTACAGGGTTTCAGTTTTCCATTTACCTGGACTGAGGGTTCAAGATTGATAGACCTAGGAAGAAGATGCACAGTTCCCTTGTGGTGTACGAGTGGTATTAACTTGAGAATTGCTTAACCATCAAGTGGCTCTTGAATCTTGGGGGAATCACTCATGTTTTCTACGTTTTGTTGACCTTGCTGTCATCTGTTTTGAATCGTCCACCTTTCTAGAGGCCTTTTTCTTAGGGTAATTTATGAATCCCTTACTCCTTGCACCTCTTTAAAGAGGGCCAGGTTTTGACCTCTGGTCCTGGATAGACTTATATGTGACTTGCAAGGGCCTGGGGTGGAATGAATTGGGTAAAGCTTGCCAGACAGCAAGCACCAAGGATCCACCAGAAAGAGGCATTTCATTACATTCAATGCTGGTATCTTTAGTCATCACTTTCTTACATATACCGGTATATATACAGTACCTTTGCACCTGTTTACTACTTTGAAAGATGCTAGACTTTTATACCAAATAATTTGTACTTTTCTCACAGTGAAAGTGGCTTATGCTGGCCTCAACAGGCTCACCTTCAGTGGACTCTTGAATTGTCTTGATGGTGTTGCATCAACAGAAGCCAGAATAGTCTTCATGACCACAAACTACCCAGAGAGGTAATGTATGCATAATATAAGAGGCAAATACAATTAAAAAAAAATATATTATTTACCAATGCTCCTGAGATGATTACATGTACATTAATTACTTGTAAATCTAGTTGCATAACAGGCATCAGCATTAGTGCATACTATGGCTGGAGAGTGCATATGGCCTAGCTCAGGGGTTTCCAAACTTTTCAATGTAAGAGCCACATTATATATTTCCCATATTTATGCGGGCCGGAGGAATAAAAAATGAAAAAAAAACAAAAAACAAATCAGTGCCAGTAATTTAATTTCCTCAAATATTAAAGTATAAACATGGAAAAATTAAAACATATCTTTTTGGAAAAAATCAGGGTAAACTAAATAGATTCCTGCCTTTAGTTTTATGCAACCAAATTAGTGTGACGAATGATACTGTCGTTTTGACTTCAAAATTTCATTAAAATCAGGTTCCAGATTAGATGAGCCAATTGTAAGAATTGATTTCAAGTGATCATCAGACAAATTTGCTCGATAGTTAGATTTCACATACTGTACTTCATTTTGGAAAAAGTTTGTTCACACAAGTATGTTGAACCAAAAATGGACACAAAACTACAAGCAAACTTTATCAAATTTGGAAACTGATCTGGCTGCAGGCATTTGTAAAACTCAATCAGATTTCCTTCTCTATACTTATCTTTCAGTCTGTCATCTGCCTGGAGATCAATAATTTCCATTTGAAATTGAGTTGGAAGATTTTCAGCATTGCAGTTAAATGGATTATGAAAGAGCCTGATTTCATTAGCTTTGGCATCAAGGTCAGCAAATCGCTTCTGAAACTGTTTTTTCAAATCTGAAATTATTTCATTTGCAAATGAAAAAGGAAATTCAACTTTACTTTCTGCATGAAATTTTTCACAACATGGAAAATGAGCAAAATTCTTAACCTTCACCTGGCCTTCAAGTAGTGCAAGTTTTGCTCTGAATGCCTTGACATGAACAAAGTAGTCACTGATCAAATTTGTTTTGCCTTGCAATTTCAGATTCAAGTTATTCATATGACCTGTCATATTCATATGACCTGTCATATTCATATGACCTGTCATATCTGCAAAAAATGCCAATTTCCAAATCCATTCACATTCTGATAATAATGGCTGAGGTTTATTTTTCTCTGTGAGAAATAAATCAATTTCTAATCTGAGCTCAAAGAAATGCAGCAAAACCTTTCCACAACTAAGCCATCTAACTGCTGTATAATAAGGCAAGTTAACAAACTCCGCATCAATTTCTTTCAAGAAATCACGGAACTGGCAATGGTTGAGTGCATGAGATCTAATGAAATTAACCACAGACACAACAGGTTTCATGACACAAGACATATCAACATATTTTAGGCACAATGCTTGTTGATGGATAAGGCAATGCAGAAAAATGGGTTTTGAGAATCCTCCAACCTCACAAGCTGTTGTAATTTGCCCAACCAAACCCTTCTTTGTCCCAGACATATTCTTTCCTCCATCAATTGTCACACACTGCACTTGTTTCCATTCCAGGTTATATTCTGTCATAGTTTTACTTACTTCATTGAAAATGTCCTCTCCAGTTGTTGTGGTGTGCATGCTGTGAACTGATGCTAATTCTTGGCTCACATTAAATTCACTATCAACACCACGAATGAATACTAAGAGCTGAGAAGTATCACACACATCAGTTGATTCATCCAACGCAAGAGAATACCAACAAAATCTTTTTGTTTTTTCCTTTATTTGCCGAATTATGTCGCCTCCTAAATCTTCAATTCTACGAGCAACAGTATTTGAGCCAAGACTTATCATTTTGAAGAGGTTTACTTTTTCTGGACATACCTCTCCTGCTGCTTCCACTATACACTCTTTTATGATACTACCATCAGTGAAAGGTTTTCCTTTTTTAGCCAACACATAGGCAACTTTGTAACTGGCTCTAGTTGAATTTTCATTTTCAGATTTTTTCTTACTGAAAACAGCTTGTTGAGAATGCAGACTGTGCTGAAATGATTCAAACTTTTTAGTGCGTTCTGCTCCTGTGATGTGAGAATAACTTGAGCCATGTTTAGATTCATAGTGCCGACGAATATTGTATTCCTTCAGAACAGCAACACTGTCTCTACATATTATGCATAAAGCTTTATCATTTGCTATCACAAAAAAGTACTTTATCTTCCATTCGTCATTGAACCGACGGCACTCACTGTCCACTTTTCTTTTCTTTATCTTTTCCATATCTGAAAACATAAGGGTAAAATAAATGAAATAAATTCTACAGGAAAAAAACAGCTTGTATGTGGTGTTAAAAAGCATAGCATATTATTATGAAGTGGTAAATATTATGGCAACAACTTTCGTTGATAAACTTAATGGTTACCATTTTAACTATTTTAAACATGCAATATTTTTGGCTACAATAGTATTATTGCTATTTTGTATAACTAAGATAAAGGCATTGTCAAAGTACAGAGAAAAGAATATTGTACAGTGTTTGTGCTCCCTGAAACGGAAGCAGCGAAGCCCCACTCGCCCTCCATCCCCACAATATACAGTTATACACAACTGATTGGTTGTAATGCACAACACATACCTACCAGTATTAGTATCTGTGCGTCACACTATCGAGAGAGAGGAAAACTGACTCGGGTTGAGCGCCACCAGTCAGCAGCCCCAGCTTTAAATAATTCTGCGATGCCATTCGTACGATAATTATTTTTTCAAGGCCACCACACAGGGATTTGTTTGGAGGGCCGGATGAAATTATGTGGCGGGCCGGATGTGGCCCGCGGGCCATAGTTTGGAGACCCCTGGCCTAGCTCCATCATTGCCCAAAACTGAACAACTTAGGCTATACTCTGATTCTTTCTTTACTTAATTTATAACCAGACACCTATTCCTCTTGCTTACTAAGTCAGTCTTGTTGACTGATCATCTCCAGTCGTGTCTAGTCTCATCAGCATTATGGGGTGTAAACTTTAGCACTTTTGTATCCAGAGAGTTTAGTAATTCTTATTAATGGTTCAACACAATACATCTACACTTAGGTTTTACCACACATTTTTTTAACAAGCCCAAGTATTTTTTTTTTATCTTAATTTTTAACACTTTCGCATTTTGCGAGCGCCACACTACCCCGGGTGGTTTTGGGCATTCCACGGGAGCGCTCGGTAATTCTGAAAAGTGTATACTCTTTTCAAGTTTTGTCACCTCAATTCTCGTCCTAGGTTTTTCAATTTGGTATCAATGTGTGCGCAATAGAATTCTCTACAGGACTAAATGCATATAAACTCCAAACGCCCAGCTTACCACCCACAGCAAACAGAGAAAGTGAGAGCGAGTTACCCCCATGAACGCTAATTAAGCACAATAAAATGTGTATACTCTTTTCAACTTTATATATAATGCATATAAGGTTCAAAATCACAGTGCGCCCCTCCCACAGCCAAGTGCGAATGCAGGGCACCTTTTTTAATTTTTGACTCCATACTGCGTCATTAGTGGACATTTAGCTACTAAATTTTTAACTCCATACTGCATCATTAGTGGGCGATAATGTATTAAGTTACCTTTGAAGACTGTAATCCCTAATTTACAGGCATAAAATTATCTAAATTGTTCTTTTGCCTGTAAATGTGTGAAACCAGTGCTTGTCCCAGCACTGCATACATACATCCAGCACAAGAATGTATGCATCATCCTAACTCCAATATGACTAAGCACTGTAGGAGTAATTATTAAAAAAAGGCACCAAGCTGGGGAGATTATGTAGCACCAAAGCATTGTAGGACTTAACTTCACAAAATGTTACATTTATATTATTTAATGTGTTTATTTAATTTTAAAGCAGTTATAAAAATTTCATAGCTAAATATTATTCCTCAAATAATCTAAGAACAAAATATTTGTGTTTTTGCACACATTCTTACACGAACATGGTCACACACACAATTTTACACGCACGACACACGCTTTCATAACTAAAGTGTTTCATTGTGATTTCTGTGTGTTGTGTATTTTGCTTTATTTTGTGGAAATGAGTGACTGCCACCGCTGAGATGAATTGGTTAATCATGTTATTCAAACAAAAGATAAATATAGAAGAAGAAAGTTTAATGTCAAAATTCAAACACACTTTCTTAACTTTGCATTAGTTGATCATGTGATGTGATGGTAATGTGTGTGTGGTGATACCCAGAAAGGGATGGCAACAAAATTTGTAAAATAAATTTGTATGAATTTTACTATTTTTACACCTCTAATTTTACTAGTGACTCTGTGTCACTAGTAAATAGGTGTAGAACTTACTAGGTGATAGTAAGTGACACTTACTATCATACACCTCTAATTTTGCTTTTCTCTAGGGCTAGGGGACAGAAGAATTTGGGCATTATACTTGAATAAATATGGTTGTATTCCTTAATGGTACTACAGTATTATTTAGAAATGCTAACTTTATTTTCAGGTTAGATCCAGCTTTGATACGGCCAGGTCGTATTGATGTTAAAGAATACATTGGATACTGCACAACCTATCAGTTGGAAAGGATGTTCTGCAACTTCTATCCAGATGCTATACCAAATCTAGCATTAAAATTTTCACAAGTTAGTTAATATTAGAAATATTAATATTAGTACAATCAACCCAAAGTCATTTTAACCTAATTATGTACTGTATATGTACTTATTCAAATAATTACTGTATTAAGGCTTTGGATCTGTTAACACTTTCATATTCCAGTGTGGGAAAGAAAAGAGAATGTTTTAGGTACTTAATTGAGCTATCCACTTCAGCCTCTTGCTCAACAATTTGTGAAACGTTTATACAATTACCACTCACTAGTTTAGCCCTCACTTAACTCAAATCTCATGTGTAACTTAGCCAACATTATGACTCAAGTTTTACCATTGTTTTATTATGACAGAATCCAAATTACACAGCTTAGCGGCCACACTAGTTACCAATGCTTGACAAATACTGCATACATAAAATCATGAAAATAACATATTAATAATGTATTAATAACTTAAAGTAAGTTGACCAGACCACACACTAGAAGTTGAAGGGACGACGACGTTTCGGTCCGTCCTGAACCATTCTCAAGTCGATTGTGAAGAGGAGGTAGAGACAGGCAATAAATAGGCAAGAGAGAGCTGAGGAGGAAAGTAAGGTGTAGGGGATAGTAGTAATAATGAGAACTGCAGAGGGCCTATTGGCCCATACGAGGCAGCTCCTATTATAACCACTATTATAACCATCTTCACTAATGAAATGCCATACCTGTACTGATATTACTCTTTAGAGTATTTGTGATTACTTTTCTTTTTTTATTTTTACAATTTTGCTTTGGTGTACAAGACAGTTTTTGCCCTAAAAATCATCCTAAGTTATGAAATGTACACAGTAGCACATAAAAAATTGGGTAACATGGATCTCTGTATAACTTGTGGTGGGCCTCCATTCATGATCTGAATTGGTAAATTATTATTGTACTCTGCTTGTTTGTGAAGTTAATTATGGACTTAAAACATTGATTTTGGTATCAAAGAGGTTTGTATGTGTTGGGCTTGTGAATTGTTGCCTCAGTATTATGCAGAAATAATGGTTAGGTAATAAGTTTGTGAAAATTTAGGATCATATTGTAAAGCTGAAAGAAGTAGACAGTGCAGAATATTATCAGAATGAGAGTGTTAATAATAAGAAACAAATTTAGTTTTGAATTCTTGTTTGAGACCCGAGCAAAATCTAAGTTTGAACTTGACCAAGATTTTGTTTTAGTCAACTACTTGATGTGTAATTTGTGCACTACTGTACCTTAATTTGAGTGAAGAAATATTATGTGGAATTCCTAGAAGTAATTTCTTCTTAATTATTTCAGGCTTCCAAAAACTTGAGTGTGCCAGTGAGTGCCGCAGCAGTTCAAGGTCACTTTATGATTTACAAAGAAGATCCAGTGGGGGCAATACAAAATGTCATTCAAATTTCTACTGAAAACACTATCAAGAGAGAGATGGATGATGATATGCTTATTAATATAGAAGGTAATAGTTTATTTGAGGTGAAGAAAAATGTATAGATTATGCTATTAGTTTAGTTTTTCACTTACTTTTTCATAGGTACCTCTTCAGTTATTTTCAGTTAGTGTGTTGCATTATTCACCAATAAATTTGTTTATGCTTGCCATTCAAATTTGTACCACCAGAACTGTGTAGATTTCTACTGCATAATGGAAAATGTTTACCATTTAGATCAAGTGTACAGTGTGAAAATGTCCAGTATTTGTTACACTGACTCATTGTTACCAGCATATGACAGTGTTATCATATTATGGCACGACACTTTACTCACTCAAGTGACCAGCATATGACAGTGTTATCATATTATGGCAAGACACTTTACTCACTCAAGTGACCAGCATATGACAGTGTTATCATATTATGGCAAGACACTTTACTCACTCAAGTGACCAGCATATGACAGTGTTATCATATTATGGCACGACACTTTACTCACTCAAGTGACCAGCATATGACAGTGTTATCATATTATGGCAAGACATTTTACTCACTCAAGTGACCAGCATATGACAGTGTTATCATATTATGGCAAGACACTTTACTCACTCAAGTGACCAGCATATGACAGTGTTATCATATTATGGCAAGACACTTTACTCACTCAAGTGACCAGCATATGACAGTGTTATCATATTATGGCACGACACTTTACTCACTCAAGTGACCAGCATATGACAGTGTTATCATATTATGGCAAGACACTTTACTCACTCAAGTGACCAGCATATGACAGTGTTATCATATTATGGCACGACACTTTACTCACTCAAGTGACCAGCATATGACAGTGTTATCATATTATGGCAAGACACTTTACTCACTCAAGTGACCAGCATATGACAGTGTTATCATATTATGGCACGACACTTTACTCACTCAAGTGCCAACACAAACAATATTGGTAATTTAAATAAAATTGGTTTATACAATACTGAAATAAGTTCAACACCATTCTAAACAAAAAGTAATTCTGAGGTAAAATGAGGAGAAATATAGATCCAATTGGCTAGTGTGATAAGATGACAATGTCACACTCTGTATATGTCAAGACTTGTCAAGGTCTAATACATACTGTATATAGCATGGAGTCCTTTATTTACTGATAGAACTAATGTCTAAGAGAACTATTACATCAGGAAGTATATGAATTGCAAGCCTACTTTTGTATTGATTTATATTGATAGTAACCATTAATTTATTTGATATTAGACATTGCTTTCCTCATTGGTTAAGAATAAATCAGTTTTGTTCTTCCTCCTAGATACATATTAGTTTTTTTTTAATTTGAGTTGCATTCATTCAACAGATTTATTCCTAGTGGTGAGTAGTTACTAATAGAAGATGAAATTTTTTACTATAATGTGAAGGGAAAATAGAGGCAAGAAAAGATAAGCAAGATTACCAGTCAAAGAACGAGTTCAACACAAGAAATAATTGAAAAGCTAAGGAGAAAAGTTAAATTTTTTTAAGCAAATAAAGTAAAAAAGAATGACAGTAAACTGAATATGAGTGAGTGTTAATTGGTGAAGTAGTAGGTGGAGAGTAATATGAAAGTGAAAGCATTGCATGAACATGATGCATCAATGAGACAAATCCTTCAGTGCACAAGTTAAAATGTGGATGGACTGCAAAAACTGAAGAATTATGGAGGATTTCCCAGAAGGCATGAGAGAGTAGCGCGCACTCAGTCATTTGGGAAGGGAACATTATCAAATGTAATAGGCAATGTACTCGTCTAGTTGTGTTTGCGGGGGTTGAGCTCTGGCTCAACCCCCGCAATACACAACCCCGCCTCTCAACCGTCAGTCAACGGGTGTACAGATTCCTGAGCCTATTGGGCTCTATCTTATCTACACTTGAAACTGTTTATGGAATCAGCCTCCACCACATCACTTCCTAATGCATTCCATTTGTCAACCACTCTGACACTAAAAAAGTTCTTTCCATTGTGTATGCCAGGAGAGTAATTGGAAATTACAGAAAATAATATAGCTGAGGAGTTTGTCAGTTGTGACTAAGGTAAGAAAGTGGTTCGTAGTTGAAGATGTATGAAGACAGCTAGTAGAAAAAGCACCATTAAGTGCACAACGTATATGGCATTTATTGATCTGGAGAAATCACATGACAACAGCTACCATGAAGTGTGTTTTCATTGTATGGACTTTATTTATGTTTACTGTAAAAGTTTTTATTCAAGATGTAGAACTTTTGGAAGAGTTACTATTTTAATAAATGATTGGTTTAATATACTGTAAATGCAGGAGTTACCATGATTGTGTAATGTTCCCTTTGATTGCTATATACATAAGGATGTAATCATGCAGATTTGGTTGAAAGTTTATTATGAGAGAAGACTGCTGAAAAATAATGTAAAGTAACCTTACAGTCCTTGTGGTAACCATACTTGCCCCGTGCATCGCAAGAGGTTTGGCCTGGGTGTGTATCCTAGCTGGGGAGGATTGATTAGGCGCCAATCCTTGACTGTACATCAACAGGTCAACACTGCTGGGTGAACAGAATGGGTACCTGGTGGTTAAATGATTTGGCAGGTCGTATTCCAGGAAAAATTAAGATTAAGGACCTGCCCGAAACACTGTGTGCTAGTGGCATTACAAGAATGTAAGAACTCTTGTATGTATATATAAATAAAATAAAAAATAATAAATACTGTGAAAGTGGGGTGAATGGAGAAGTGCTGGAAGCTGTTGCTTAGATTAAACACCTGGACTCTGGGTGGAAGAATTTGTGGAAGTAAAACTTAGAGGAGTCAGGTGTAACGAAAGTTCTGGTTTCCTGCCTTGAAAAATGGGCGTACCAATATACAGAAATCACAATAGCGTAATACATCAAATGAACAAATCCTTGTGGATTTGTTCATTTGATGCATAAATTTTGATAGACTGTGATTTAAATGGGGGATGAGAGTGAATGCATTTCACCTGAAATATGGTCAAGATAACATAAATCAACGGCATAATATGGTATATTTTTGGCGCGCACACATACACACTTCATGATTCAGCCCACTACTGCTGACGATGAATTCTCTGTGTTCATATAAAATTTTCAGTTTTAGGCCTTGAATCTCATTTGCAAGATCATACTGTACTTTTTTTAATTGAACATTTTTGCCTCATTCTACCACATGAATACCACAGGTATGCTATTAAGGGGACCTTGGGTTAAAGAACCGTCTTCAAAATATTGAAAATATCTGCAATATAATCAACACTTTTATTATCAACATTTTACAATTGGAAATTAAAAATATCTTATGGATGGATATAAGACTTCTGTTGTGATATTGAAACTTGTCAAAAAGTTTTGGAGTTGGGTCTTGCTACAGACTCATAATCCTCCAAGCCACCAGAGCTTGACTGAGCACTCGTGCACTATCTTCTTCCAGGTAAACAGCTGTTTGGGCACTTCACTTTCAGAACTGGAATCTGAATCACATTCTGATACTGGTTCTGGAAAGTGTCGTTGTCCAGAACTGGTAGCCAGGATGGGATAATAAGGATGAATGCTGTAAGAAAAAAGATAATTCAATTAATGAAGAGAAATACAATACAATATTATGAAGACAACTTGGTCGTTATAGAAAATTATACCAAATATAAATGTTTAATAACTTGAGGATTTACTGTAGTTAGTCTTTTGGACTTTAAATAAGTTTACTAATATATATTACGTCATCTTTCTCTTGCACCATTCAATAAGTTATTTGGCCTCTTTAGGACTTGTATACTAAATCTCTTCAAGACCTCAAATATATCATATAATCTACCCAACAGGCAGCATGGTGGATTCAGAAAGAATGATTGACAGCATGAAGTAAAACCAAGATACAGTACATCCTATGGACTAGCACCAAGTGGGAGGGTCCATAGCCAAACACCACCAAACACCTGTAATGGGTTTTCCAGTTTCAGACAGTAAAAACTGAAATGGTAAACCAGGAGCCAGGACACACCAAATGCAACTCAGGAGAAACAGGCAGCTGAGAAAGGAATAAGCATTGTGCCGCAGACCTAGTATGCAGACCCCTGCAAACCGGCAAGCAAAGAGAATCCTGACTGTCCCCACCATAGAGTTCCACAGCACATAATGAACCGAGATGCTAATGTACTACATACACAATGTAGATACAAACTACACAGCTCGTGTCCTCGGGTGCACAGTGATCGTGTCATTCACTCTTCCGTACTAAGAATACAAGTTAATGCTTGGTGAGGAATGGTTGTAGGTTTATTGTAATGTAGAGCCAGTACAGCAAAGACAGTACAGTACTGACTTGCTTTAATTATTTTATAATTGCACTAGTTGCAATATTATATAATAAATCTTTACCTTATTCCATTAGTGCAGTCTTTATGGGCAGTAAATGCTGACGAAGGCAACAACATGGGTATATCTTCATATGTAGAAGTGCCTTCATTACTCTGGCCCAAATCCCACTTTAATACTTGACCCTCGGTATTTCCTGTCAAGTTTATAGATTAATATTTTTGTAGAGAATAAATAACAGTAACAAGGTAATGATACTACAGGCTTTATATACTTTAAATATTAATGTTAAAACAAAATACAAAATAAAGTGACATTAAAGGCAAATTTAGTCATGGACATTGGAGTTAGACTTCAATATATTTCCACAATAAAAAGAAAATTCCCTCATTTCACTATTACTTTTTTAGAGGAAATGTAAATTTTTTGCAATATATTGCATATACTCCTGTAATTATACAAATATTTAATTCCTTTCTTTGACTAAAATCTGGAGAGTTGCTAATTACAAGCTAAATAATTATGGATGTTTGAAATTCATATTCAGCATTTTATGAAATGATAAGCAAAATAAGATGAAACATATGTACTGCGCTACAAAACATCAGTAAAACAAATTTTACCTTATTTTATTATGTACCAGAAAAATTTTAAATAGAACTACTGCATATACAGTAATGTGAAAATGATGAAGTAATATTAATAAGGTGTTAAATACATCAACACAAAAAGAAGACAAATTAGGTAAGTTTAAATATATAAACAAATTGGTTAAACATTGATTAGGAAATAGTGCAGGTTTCCTGGTAAAATAATAGCTATAGGATCAATGGAGTGTTTCAGTAGTGTAGGTTAGACATGGGTGTACAATTTTCTTACCAAGTGAGGTTTGTTTTGTTATGCCTACTTTTCTGGGTGCCTAACCCTAGTCGATGGCAGACAAGGAACATCCCCAACCACAGGGTGGTTTTTCCTAAAGGCCATTGTTTCCTGTGCCTCTCTGAGGGGGCCAGGTTCTGGCTCATGGTCCCCAGTAGGCTTAACTCCATTGACTAATGCCCTAGACTGATATATTGCATAACAGTCCCATAGCTCCAGGGAGGCAAAGGGGCTCGCAAGAGAAAAAAATATAAGGTCAGCTTTAAATAATTGCTCTGCTCCACGTTAAATTGACCACCACTGTGCTGCAGCAGCAAACTGATACCTTAGGCTGCCTTGTGTTGTGGCAGTGTATAAATGCCATCATGCACGAGTGTGAATTGTTGTGCTAGTTGGAGCACATACTTTCTACTATCATAGCCAATTAGCCCTTCTTTCCTTTTCTTCATGTAGAGTGAGAGATTTATGTATACTGTACTAGTGTGTTAACCTTTTGAGCGAGTAATTAATTTATGTGTTCCATTCTCTTAAAAAAAAAAAAAAGTTATTTTTTGTAGTACTTTCCGACAAATCTGAGTTTAGGAGAAGAGACCCGGTGGGTTAATTTAATCTGCTGTTAAGAGAGATCTATTATAAGGTATATATACTGCACCATCCTTTATGGTAGCTTGAGTGTCAGAGCCATTTATTGACAATAAAAGCAACACCTCATATCCTGACTGCTCTATGGTGTTTACCACGTGGTAAAATAAAACTTTACATAACCTGCACTCCATCTATACCATAACCAACATGATATTACATACCATTCAATTTAAGGGTTAATACTGTATTGAAATTCATAAGAACACTTTAGCCAAAGAAGCATTTTTAGTTTCAGGACAGCCACAATCAAATACTGTATATTTAAGAAAATCTAGAGGCTCGGTATTATAATTAATTCAACCCATCCGCCTGTTTAGGAAGTAGTTTTTATAACTATGTGCACCATAGTACAAACACTGATGTACTAAGGAATAAGATTTTGTAATATTCATTTTATAAAGAGTCCAACAAAAATAAAGCTTAAAAAACACTTAAATATTTCTAGGCCTAGTATAGCACACATATATACTGTATTAGTCCAAAGATATCGTGCATTAGGCCTAGGAAAGTTAGGCTACGATAGTTTTGTTTGTCTTTGCAACATAAATAGGAAAGCTTTTCCAGTTTGTCCAAATTCAATAGTACCGATTTCTACTTTCTAAATTCGCTGTACATTGGTCCAGTATATGAACTATGGTCCTCATGATTACTATACGTACTACCAAAACAGGAGCATGGACTGAATTAATTTGTATAGTTTAGCAAAATATTTAGATTTCTCTCAGTCGATGTCATAAGTTTACTTTCACATTCAGTGTGATGCTAGTATCAAATCCTAGACAAATGCCCAACCCCTTTCTGAGTGCTTCTCTCTTCCTCCTTCACTCACTCAGGGAGCAGGAGGGTAAGGGGTGAGAATTTAGGTCATGAGGACTATCACTGGTACCAGAGGTCATTCAGCACCTCATTCACTGATACCTAACAAGAGAAGGATATTAGTGATCTTACCTGATACAAGAAAGCTATTCAGTTGTGGTTCCAAGTCAAAGTACATTCTTTGATTAGTAGAAACTTTTCGTCTGTATGCACATAGTATTTGTCCAAGATTTCTGATGTCCCAGCAAAGAATTTCATCATTCTAATAAAAACAAAAAAGTTAATATAGTATTACTTATGTAAGTGATATTCATGAACTGCTCCATACAATTTCAGAGTACTGTACTTTTCAGATAATCTCAAGAAATATATGCATATTATAAATTTTACATAAAATGTCCAAAATGAGTTACAAAATTTACAGTTCTGTATTTTAGGCATTTAGCCATATATATTCCATTCTTCATAAATCTATTACTGTACAACTGGCCATTCTAATTTATAACTTTCTAGACAATCAAGAAATTTGAAAAAGGTATTCTATTTAAACATGCGTACCATAATCTATGTGTGTGTATGTACACATGCAAAAACTAAGCTTCAACTTGTCATCACACTGAGTGCATATATTGTATAGTATACAGCACAGCATACAAATTTTAATGGCCTGAACACATATGTACACTGGAATTGTGAGCTATTTGTAGCAAAGTCTGGACAAAGATAATAATTTTATGTAAATTATGGGTTTGGATAGGTTTATATGCACTGTATGGGTAAACATATACATGTATAGAATACACATGTCCAGTGTGAGAACAGACTGGCATCACCCACAAGATCTAGTCAACATGTATGAATACACATTCAAACATATTAGATGTATATTACCTTTCGGGTTCCAGAGAACAGCTGGGTGCCATCAGCAGAAAACTGAATGTGGGTCACCCCGCCCTGACACCCTTCCAACCGGCAGAACAGACTATTACTCTGAAGATTGTACAGACCTGCCAACAAGGGCATGGGGAATTTATATTATAAATTATTATACATACAAGATAAATATTTTTCAAATTTGTTACAAACCATCTTAAAATATACATTTGGTCACAAACTGTAATAACTAAACCTTGAGCCAAAATATTCACAGGTCATCTGAACTAAACCATACCATTAAAATAAATATTTTCATTTTTATTCTACTTATATGCCTAACCCACTTACTGGAAGACTCATACTGGACCTTTCCGTGTCAGCTTAGCAACACGAAAATAAATTTTGATTATAACTGCAACTTAAACATACTCAACGACATGTCCGCATTTCTATGTCATGTTTACAATTTTTAAACCATAAATCTTATTTTTTTCAAGAACAAAAGTCACAACTCAATCTGGCTGCAGAGTAGCATGTACATGAAATACTTTACATACCATCCTCCTGTTGAGGAGTGTTCTTATTTCTCTCTCTCTTCCACCCATGCCCTCTGCCTCTCTAATCCAATGCAAGATAATCCCTCCATCCCCTTTCACTCAATCTTCATCTCTCCCACTATCAATCTATATCTTCTTATATAAGTATATAACTATCTTCACCTCTTCTTTCTTACATCGCTGCCAATGTTGTCGCCGCACCTTACCTCACCAGCTTGTGAGTGTTCATTTAACTCCTCAATGTTCTCTAACTCACCTCTTTTCCTCAAGCCCTTCCATGTCATGTCTCATTCCTTACCATCACATTTCTAGTTTGCTTATGTCACTGAGCTTCAGTTTCAACATGATAATGGTCCAGGATAGAATGGAGCATTACCACTCTTAATTAATTGTAAAATTTTCCAATTCTTCACAATTAATTGAATATATTTACCCATTACACCAATATAACGACCACCGTGACAAACACAACCTCTTACTCCTGCAATTTTAACCTTAAATAGTTACTTCATTCAGCTGTTACTTCTAGGTACAGTATACAGTACAGTATAACATTCCATGCACTAGACAAACACTGTGCCTTGTACCATACTTTTAAAACAGTTGGATTTCACACATTCTAAAATCTCTTGCTATATACTTTGAGGTGAAATTAACAAAAGTACAACTACAGCATCTTAACTTTCAGGCATGTGGTACACAATTTAAATATTAGCAATGCATTTATTATTATTATTGACAAAATCCACAGGAGCCGTGATGAGGATACGAACCTATGCACTAGGTGTTCCCAGATGCACGCTCTAATCTGCACCTGGGAACACCCACCGCACAGGTTCCAATCCTCATCACAGCTCCTGTAGATTTTCTCATTGATATATCATGATAATGTGATTTCTTTGTGTATTATTATTATTATCATTATTATTATTATTATTCAACAGAAGATATACATTGAGCAAAATCAAGAAAAAAAAAATTACTTTCAAGCCTCAATAATAACTTTACATAAAATTGTTCATGAACCTTTACAGATGACAAGACCTTTTGGTGATTGCATATATTTTTTTTGTCTATTATAACCTTTGGAATCTACACAGGCCCAGGGATCAATATATGATGATAACTGCTCATTAAGAGTTAATGCACAAAGTGGCTGGGACTTAAAGTATTATAAAACAAGGGAACACTCATTTACTCACCCAACGTGCCAAGGTAGCTGCCAGCAGCAAAGACAGATGGCAGCTGTGGGTTAAAGGCCATGCATGATATTATACCCGGTTGACCTGCAGCAAAAATAATAATAGTTAATTCTTGAAAAATGCAAGTATTAGCATGTACATGTGCAGGCTGTAGTGACCTAACTACAAATGTAATTACTTAACAAATTACATAAGTGTAGTTACAAGATGAGAGTTACACTCATGGTGTCCCGTTCCCCAGTACTGTACTGTACTCTTTGTCATGTATCGTTTTGAAACTACTATCGTTTTTGGCTGCCTCCACCTTCTCACTTAACTTGTTCCAACTGTCTACCACTCTGTTTGCAAAAGTGAATTTTCTAATGTTTTTTTCAGCAGCTTTGTTTTCTTAGGTTTAAACCTGTGCCCTCTTGGTCTTGAAGCTGCGGTTTCCAAAAATCTTTCTTTGCCAATTTTGTCGATTCCTGTGATGTAAACTACCACCAAATGTCACATTTTAAAAAGCTAAAGGCCTCCCCATAGGAACTGTTCAGCCGTTGATTGCAAGTGTGCAAAAATATCTAAGAAATTGATTAACAATGAAACAGTAACAAGTAAATGGCATAAAGAGTGACTAGGAACCACCATAGAGACTGCCAGAGTGTATAATTTCAATTAGGATATATAAATTTAAGTAGGGAGTCTGCTATGTTGCTCTTGTATAGCCAACACCACTCAGCTCAAGCATAATACTGAGGCTGTCTCCAGTAGAGGTTCTGTGCCCTGTGATGTGACCAGGTGAGTATGAGAGCAAGCTGTGAGGACCTTGGCTGCATTGGCCTGCCACTTGCTTGAGGTTAGGTGCATCACAATTAGGGTGTTTACAGCATTGCATCAACGATCATTTGCCTTGTACCTTTGGGTACCTAATTTTCTTACTTACCAACTTAGAGAGGGTCCCCTAAGTAGCTCTCGGAGCTACATAGGGGACCCTCCCAGAAAAAAATTTAGTTCAAAAACTGAAATCTACAGTAACACCTAATCAAGAATGATTATCTATAAAAAAAATTTGGGAAATCTGGAGTATATATAATATAAACAAGAAGCAAGAAGTTAAACAAATCATTCATAAATACATAGCTAGAGAAAATGCCACTTAACTTGAATAAAGAAAAACAATGATTCATGAATCTGGCAACACAATCTTCATGTTTCTATACAAAACCTACTGCACAAGACAACCATAACTGTATGTCTGGTGATAGTTACCCACCCTTGGCATCTATGCTTTCAAAGTGTCTTCCTGGACGACTGGTGTGAAAGACACGGAGGCACTTGCTGAAGCCACACACAAGTTGTGATCCATCTTCACTAAACCCAACACTGTAAGCTGCTACCAGCTGATCAAGGCTGTTAATATAAATTAAGGTAAATTAATTCCATAGCATTTGCATATATTGAAATGAAACCTTTAACATGTAATCAACTTGTAATTTTCAAAAATGTAAAAAACCAGCATTGAATGTAATGAAATGCCATTTTCTGGGTGAGACCCTGAAGTTTCCTGGAGCAATACTGGGCTGATGTGTATATATTTAGTCTCACCATTTTCTGGGCGAGACCTGGAGGCTCCCCGGCATCCTTCCCTCCCTCCAGTTGGCAGTTTTTTCGCATCTTTGATATTCAGCCTCTGAACTGGGGATAGATCTGGGACCCCCTCTTCCCCCTCCCGAGGAGGGGGAAGTTGCGCAGACAGTGGCGTGGCGGTTGTGGTGACGTCATGCTTGTTTGCTTGTTTACTGATTGGGGAGTTCTGCTTGCTCGTTTATCTTTTGGTTAGCAATTTTTCCACCAGCTGTAGTTTGTTTTGGGATTCCTTCCTTTCTGGGTGCCTGACCCGGTAGATGGCAGATATGGGCCTATAAACACCTAACTACACGGGGGTGTCTATAGACCATTGCTCCTCATGCCTCTCTTGAGGGGGGCCAGGTTCTGGTGCTGGTCCCCAGTAGTCCTAGAACGCCATCGATTAGCTGTTGCCACGGTCTAATATATACACATGAGCCTGGTATAGCTCAAGGGAGCCGAAGGGGCTTTCCACAGAAAAATGAGTGAAGACCCAAAAAATCCCCTCCGTTACTTTTTCTATCCTTTTCTCTAGGCTTCATTAATTTATTTATACCTATGTTAATATAGTTATACTGTAGAAGTTTGCTAATCCGGACTATATGGCAATGACCCCTTGCCTGATAAGCACGCTTTCCGGATCAAAGGACGTTTCACTGTGGAAGTCCAGAAGTGAACATTTCCAAAAATATTTGTATGACAAACAGCATAATTTGAATTGCCACACACTATAATTAGTGTGTGGGGCTGGGTGGGTGGTAGGTGCACAGGGCAAGTGGGCAGGCAGACAGGTGGGCGAGTGGGTGGGTAAATGGCAGGCAGATGGGCTTGGTGAGTGAGCAGGCAGGTCAGGTGGGTGGGGGAAGCAGGTGGGTAGGCAGGCTTGATGGGTGGATGGCAGGCAGATGGGCTTGGTGGGTGGATGGGCAGGCAGGTCAGGTGGGTGGGTGGGTGGGCAGGCAGGTCAGGTGGGTGGGTGGGTGGGCAGGCAGGTCAGGTTCGGGCTGGATGGGTGGGTGGCAGGCAGATAGGCTTGGTGGGTGGGTGGGAAGGTCAGGTAGGTGGGTGGGCAAGCAGTCAGGCATGTGGCCACACATAGGCAGGTGGTGGGTGACTCTCTACAAATACCTCTCTCCACCTATCACCCTCCTAACCCTTGCCACAAGTGATGACAACATACTCACTTGCTGAGTATGTTGTATGAGTATGTATGTATGAGTGAGTATGACAACATACTTGCTGTACAATGACACCATAATATGCACCTTGTGTTAAACCCTATTTTAGTTTCTTGTAAATACTTAAATGAATAAATAGTCAACCAATTACTTTTCAAATATTATGGTGTGGTTTTTAATATTCCTAACTAGCTCTCCACGACAAAAAGGAAAAAATATAATGATTAAACAATGGTGCCACGGGGAGAGACCTGACCGCCTGATCGGCGTCAGGGAGAGACCTGACCGCCTGATCGGCGTCAGGGAGAGACCTGACCGTCTGATCGGCGTCAGGGAGAGACCTGACCGCCACCCTCCTATCTTGAGGTTATCTTGAGATGATTTCGGGGCTTGGGGTCCCCGAGGGCCAGTCCTCGACCAGGTCTCCTTTTTTATACACACCCCCCAGGAAGCAGCTGTAACTCCCAGGTACCTATTTACTGCTAGGTATCGGGCATCAATGTGAAAGAAACTCTGCCTCCACCGGGGATTGAACCCGGAACTTCAGGACTACGAATCCGAAACGCTGTCCATTCAGCTGTCAGGCTCTTCCTAGGCTTAATTTTTGACACCAGTCACCTCTTGTTCACAATTCACTCCTCCCCACAAACACCACACCCATCCTGGTGTGTGATGTGGTTACCACACCCACTCCTGACACCCACCCTCTAACACTCACTCCCGACACTCACCCCTGATACCCACAACCACCCCTGATACTCACCCTTGTAACTCACTCCTGACACCCACCCCTGACACTCTCCTGACACCCACTCCTGACACCCACCACACTCTTATCTCTCAGTGGTAAAAGTTCACATGTTATAATCTGCGGCAAGTCGACCATTGGTTTTGGAGAGATTTTTAGGCTTCAAACTCACTATCAGTATATGCTGATCCAGACAAATATCTGATAATCCGGTTTCTAAGGACATTCTGTCTGAATAGGGATATAACTTTATCCGGCCACGATAGTTACCGGATTAGGGCATTTTCCCGATTAGTGAGCTTCTACAGTATTTAAAATAAGGTGCAAGTGCTTGCTGCACCTTATTTTAAATATATACAGTACTATATACATTAGGTTCCATGAATAAAATGGAAATAAATTTTTTCAAGCAATATCTCAATATACTTACAGAGTTCAATAATCAAAACATTACAGAAATGTTAAAATCCTACTGAAACTCACTATAGCTAGATTAGTATTTATGTCTTCTGAATTTTAAGACACTATTACAAACATGCTTATTAAAATGATCAGATATTTATATTGTTAAACTTAAAATCACTGACAAGAGGCACAGATATTTGTAAATGTCATCTGACTAGTAATTTGTAAGAGGAGATTTATTAGCAAAGTTGTTGGTAACTCAGTACTTACTGGTCATATGAATGATAACTGCAGATGAGATTACCATTCCAGGCGTCCCATAAATGAACTGGTTGGTCTCGGCATGTCACGGCAAAGCTAAGGGAAATAACACATTGACGTCATTTTTATTTTAATACAGTACAAGCTACAGACAGTACTAGCTTCACTCCTACTTGCAAATTACTGTATACTAATGAGTGGCTTCTTAACAGTAGAAGATAGTGCTGGAATAAAACCCAAAACATTTACAGTATTCAAGCCTTCCCCACACAATCTACAAAAATTTAAATCACCATGGAAGACATTACACATCAATTTCCATATTTAAATTAATACAAAATATATTAATAATGACACTATAAATACTCTGAATTATCACACAACACAATAAGAACAAAGGTGTACGTAAGAAGCAGCAACACACCTACCAACAGGTGCGAGGATCATTGGACTGCATCAGTGGAAACCATGCAAAGTCATATATCAATTCCCTTTCCTGTACAGTAATGGCAGCTTTAGCATACTTTTTAGATTCTTCCATAAACCAAGACTCGCCTGTAAACAAAAAAATGCAGGCTTCATAATTTTGAAAGAGACAGTAATGGACCAATATGTAGAATATTCATTTTTATATAGTGTTTAGTTACACAGTACAAAAAAAAAAAGGTACAGTGTATAGTATTCTATTGTTGCCGCCTCTAGTTTTCCTACACAATTACTGTACATATATTGGTGATTTACCCGCTGATTAACAATTAGACCAATCATGTTTTCATCTCTCATCATAAAATATTAATTACATTGTTATGTTTCAAGATATGCAACACACGAATGTTAACTTGGCAAATATTACGTGCTACACAGCCTTCCCAGCTTGGTGCCTTCTTTTGATAATTACTTACTTGGCAAATATTATGCTGAACAAACTATTACATGCACCAAACATATTCCAAAATAAGATCTGAGAGTTTGCACAGTCTATTTTAATATCTAAGGCCTGAACAAGTAACCATCTGTCAAAATGTAATAAGATACTGTAAAGATATTGACGTCATAAAAATTAGAGATGGAGATGTAAAGCAATAAATACATAAATAGCACCTTACTTTGAAACTCTCTCTGAACAACTGGTGCAGGTAGATTCAGAAGACGTAATTTGCAGTCATCACTCCCCACCAGCAGACAGGAACCATCTGGTGACCTATATGTTCATTATGGAATACTGATTGTAGAAATAAACACGATCACAGTCAACTTCGAGTTCTACACAGGAAGGCATTTAAAGAGAACACAAGTAACAGTAATCTACATAATGTTTTGCTAAGAATCTAATGGGATTTGAGAAAATTAATTTTGAGCATAGCAAAATTTAAATATTTTATGTATTGTGAAATAAAAAAAAATCTGACTGTAAACAACAAACAGATAAATTCCTATGCTAGGCACATCTTACTATAAAAAAATACTGTACTGTGAAAGTTCAAAAAAAAAAAAAGAGAAAGACAGCAAAAAGAAAAAGCAAGAAAGAAAATGAAAACAGTGTTGAACATAATGAAACGACTTTCTGGTAAGGCCTTGGTGGCTCCCTCAAGCTAGCTCGCTGAGGTAGCTCCTCACTACTAAGTCGCATCAGTCTTAGGTTTCCTGTATCGCCTAGTGTGGACCAGAGCCAGAATCTGGCACCTGTCACAGAGGCACAAAGAGTTGAGTATTGTTATTATCACCCTCATTGTTATTGTTGTTATTATCAACAGCCAGAAAGTAAGTGAAGCACCACAAACAACTGCAAAGTTCACAGAACCAAAGCACTGAAACAGCCAAACTCTACTAACATTTCACTCAGAAGCTAAGCCAAACTCCTCTAGTTATGGCTGGCCACCAACAGGTGCCAGCATCACCCAGTTTCCACATTATTATAATCTCAGTCGGGAGCTAATAGACCACGAAACCAATGCATCTGGTAGGGCTAAAAGAAGAGGAAACCATCGAGACCTTACCAGAAAAATGTTTTTCATTGCATTCAGCACTGGCATTCTAGTGGGACCGAATTGTGGCTCCCAGAAGCTAAAAACAGAGTTATATAGGGAAAATAGAACTTACCAGGAGAGGAGGGAAGATAATGCACACAAAGACAAGACGAAGGGACAGGAAACCCATCCTAGAGTAACAAGAGCCCAGCAGGGACCAGTTCTTTAACCAGATAATGAGCTACCAAGTCCCTTTTAGACCTCCAAAACCCCTAAGCCCAAATATCAGCCCATTATATTAGGAAATACAGTACTGCAGGCAAAGCAACAAACTTGCAAATATCACGGATCTGAGGGTAGACCAGAGGCAAGCTAGACTTAATGACACAGTGGACAAAATGGGATAAATGAGCCTTGAAGTAGGGAACCAAAAGAAAATTGGGCCAACAAACAGCACATCTACTTAAGCAGAGTAGATGGCATGCAGGTAGCAATGAACTGTCTCAATTGGAAACAACAAATGATGCACCCCCAGCTTTAAAACCAATAAACAACCACCAAAATCAACAGTGTCATTCAAAAACGGAAGCTACAGCAGCAAATTTTTGAACGTCATGGGCACGAGGATAGACCGCAGGCTGAGTGGACTAAATAATCCTGCAAACGACCTGGGAGACCCGAGCCCTGGAATAGGGAAGAAGGGAAACCGGGTCAACCCGGTTGATTGTTGTCCCCGTTCACAGAGGCCATAGTGTGCAAATAACGGCGAGAGCTGCAATCGTACACAACACATGATGCACCCCCGGACAAACCAACCAAGCATCAACCACCCAAGGGCCCTTCGGAAAGTTGCCGTCTCATTTTTCACCAGAAAAGAAGGAGACGGTTGCAACCGAACAAACCTACCACCAGGACCGAAAGAGCAAAAACTCCTGCACCGGAGGAAAGCATGAAGCTCCCCGACCCTATCCCCAAGAGGCAAATGCCAACAAGAAAAAAAAAGGGCCTTGTCAAAACAATCCTGAACCAAAGGGGGTCACCACAAACCTAGGAGAAGAGAGAAACAAAGTACCTGGTCCAACACCCCGAATGCAAGCAGGAGCAGCTCTGCAAGCGCCGCACGATACAAGGCTACAGTATTCGGCATAAGATGGCGGTCCTGAAACAACAGAGAGAAAAGACAAGACAACCCGATTCGAAACCGAAGACAATCTACGAAGAGACAAAAAAGAACTAAAGGACCGCCAGGAGACTTCATACTGCTACCGAGACGAAACTCACAGGCAGGACGCCATCATAGAAGCCACCTGATCACCATAGAAATGGTGATAAATCCACATCAAAAAGACCAGACATGAAGATCGGAGAAGATCGAACCAGCCATGTACCGGACCAGACCGATCCTCTGAAAGAGGCAGAGCTGCGGAAAAGTCCCCAGGTTCAGACACCGAGCAAGCAGTGCCAGAAACCAAGGCTGGCTACGAAACCCGTACGTCTAGCAGAGCCAACTGAACAAGTTGGCATCTGAAAAGAGTCCCCGCTTAGTTCTGGGGAGCCAGAGGGGCTCTCCACAGAAAAGGCACAAGACAACTTGCGAAATGGAGCCAAGGGGGCCATCATCATTAAACACAAACAAGAATAGCTCCAGCAAGGCCAAACGATAACATTACAAAAAGAACAAAGCCATCAGGATGGACACAGAAGAGGCATGACAAAAAAAACAAAGAAGTAAAAAGAGCACCAAGAAGCTATACTGCTGCTGTGATGCAAGATGTAGGCGGGATACCAACAACTGTGCCACCTGCACACAATACATGTGGTGATAGACTTATGTCAGAAAGCCCACAAGCACAGATCAGCAGAAAATGTGGCAATCTACTGGGAGAGGTGGAGCCGCGGGAATATAAACAGGTGCAGTCCCTTCCAATTGCTATACAGTCATACTGGCCAAGTGCCTTCTCATTATTTTCATTCCTACTAGAAATACCTAAGAAACTAATCTGGTTTACTCGAGATTCATATGAAGGAGAACATTCACCCGTTTAGTTTTATTTATGAATGGTGCCACCATACTTATGACATCAAGCCTCTAATTCACTTATAAAATTGTTATGTGTACAGAACAATAGAGAGAGAATACCAAAAATTGGAAGATACAAGTAAAACTAAATTTTGTCTAATTACAAATTTACCATGTACAGTATTGGTTTGCACTGTTCAAGATCGCACTGTGTAGCCTCAGGAGTCAACTGCAATACATTTATTATTTATACGAGATAAATATGACATTTCTACATATACGAGTAATATACAAATAAAAATACAGTACAGTATATATTTCACCAAGATCTTTCTTATCAATTTCATGTGACTTATGGACAAGAGTTACTGGGTAACAATGAAAGCTTGTTTACAAATACACCTGGTTCCATACAGTCACAAGTCAGCCATAACAAATAAGGTATATAACAGTAAACACTGTGCAATACAGTATATGGTATTTTCAATGTGCACAAAATGTTTTGCACAAGGATTCTGCTATATAATGGAAATAAGTACAATACTGAACATGGTGTAATGCAAATAACAGAAGCTTTAGAATCAGTAATACAGGTTCAATTTAGCCTCCTGTGCTTAACAGAGTTATGAAAATTGGAAAGAAAAATATTTATAACTAACCATTTGCATCCCTTTGTAAAGTTAACATTTGGGGCACTGTATTCTTCTTTATAATCGAGTGCCATCACTGGTGAATCAAACGTGAACTTCAAGGCTGGCCAGTAATTATTTTGTTCTTGTCTCGCAGCATCCATCTCTGTATCTTGACCACTAGCTTCAGATGGACCTTTAGTATGTGCTATTGTTCCTTCCTGATCACTAACTGTTTTATTTACTTCAGATGCTCCTTCATCAAATTCTATTGTCCCTTCATGATTATTAATAGAAACATTTACATTACAAGGTCCTTTTTCATGCTGTATTTTCCCTTCATAATTATTCAATGAAACATTTGTTTTACAAGATTCTTTATCATGTTGTATTGCTACTTCACACTTACTATCTGTAACACTTACTTCACATAGTCCGTTATCATACTGCCTAGTACACTTAGATACATTCATCTCTGCTGCAGTTAAATTGCTAAGAGTTTCTTCTGATTTTTGTGTGTCTTGTCCAATTGGTATTGAAAGCAACATAGTATCCAAGGAGTTTGTTATATTACCTAATTCACCTTTATGATTGCTAGCACTGTCTGGTCTAGAATTAGTTTTCACATCCACACTTGAATGTTTGATTATGCTTTTGTCATTAGTACATATTTCAGTGTAAGGATTAGGTGGTAATATTAAGGCAGCATCAAGTTGTGCTAAAACAAGCAATTTTTGTTGATTCAAATAACTGTTGCTTTCATCATCTATAGTGAATTCTTCCTTGTTGATAACTGCTTCTTCATCCATCTGAAACATGATTAAGCCTCTAGTTAAGTGCACAGGTACTATAAGAAAAAATTATACTTTATGCTCATGAGAAACAAAATAAAATTAGACACTGATCTGCTCTGTATCTTGTACTCACCTAGTTGTGCATGCAAGGGTTGAGCTGTGGCTCTTTGGTCCAACCTCTCAACTGTCAATCAACTAGTATACAGATTCCTGAGGCTATTGTATGCCCGAAACGCTTTGCGTAATAGTGGCTTTAGGCATTGTATGTACTAGCTATACCTATAAGTTAAACAATCCTTGTAAATATTTATTGTATGTATGTACCTTACCTAAATAAAATTGTATTGTATTGTATTGTATTGAGCTGTCACAGGTAACTATGACAGTCTATTCCATTTGTAGTCGATACCAGTCACTTCATACTCAACATTCATATATAAATTTGAATATCTAACCTATTGATTAATCAATGATATACCTATTGATATATCATTAATAGATATTAATTAACATCTAACCTATTGATCAATCAATGATATAACCTCCCACTCTACCATTAACCAAAGGAGTGCCACAGGGCAGCATCCTAGGACCTCTCCTATTTCTTATATACATCAATGATCTGCCTAATATGTCTAACATTCTTAAACCTATATTATTTGCTGACAATACTACTCTCATCTACTCAGACCCTAACCTACACACTAAATAATGTTGTAAATAACGAATTAAAAAAGTCCACATATGGATGTCAACCAACAAACTCACACTAAACATGGAAAAGACCTACTACATCTTATTTGGAAGCCAATCAACAAATGCAATTCAGCTTCAGATAGACAATGTTAACATCAGCAATAAAATTGCTGGGAAGTTCCTTGGCCTAAACATGGACAAAAGACTCAACTTCAGCACCCACATGCTACACATAACCAAGAAAGTCTCAACAACAGTTGGTATACCTGTACTTTCTAAAATCGGATACAGTATTATGTTCCTAACCCTGCTCTCCTCTCATTATACTATGTGCTAATCTATCCCTATCTTACTTATTGTATCTGTGCATGGGGTTCAACCACTACAAACTATATCAAGCCCATCATGAACAAATCCACAAGGGCCGTGACGAGGATTCAGGCAGCGTCTGTGATGCTCCCAGACGTAGGTTCGAATCCTCGTCACGACCCTTGTGAATTTGTTCATTTGATGCATCACGTTATTGTGATTTGTGTGTGTAAGCCCATCACCCAGAAAAAATCTGCTTCAGAACAATAACAAATTCAGTTTTCAGACAACACTCAGCCCCCTTGTTTAAATCCCTAAACATGCTAAACATAAACTCACTCCACACATTCTCTTGTGCCATTTACATTTACAAAGCCCTGTTTTTAAATGCCAAACCTTGTTCTGAAACTCTCCCTGGACAGATGTAATAGGACCCATTATCACCACACCAGAAATAGATATCTCTTTGATATCCCCCAGAGTCAAACTTAATCTGTGTAAACAGACTATGCAAATAAAGGGATCTAATCTATGAAACTCACTCCCTAACGAATTGAAAAGCTGTCCAACCTACACCTTATTCAAAAGAAAACCAAAAAGTACTTAATTTCATCCTCATAGTTTTCCTACCTAGTGCTTTAAACTCACTGTATATTGTGCTACCTAAACCCCCAATATATGTACATAAACCATTCAACTTCACCATTGTAACTACTGCTATCATCTTATATCATGATTGTTATATTGAACACATATTTTACTACATTATACCTATAAATAATCCTCAAATTATACTACAAAGTATAAGTTCCTGTTGGTAATCCTCAAATTTTACTGTAATGTACCTACTAATCTTCGTCAAATTTTCTTACAATGTACCTGTTAACATTCCTCAATTTTGCTAGAAATTACCAACTTAAAATTATGTTAGACTAAGGACTTGCCCGAAATGCTATACATGTTAGTGGCTTTATAAGAATGTAAAAACATCAATACTAAGTACTCTCATAAACCCAACGGACGTTGTATATAAATAAATATACTGTATAAAAAATAAATAAATAAATATATAGCAGTCTCTGTGGCGTAGTGGTTAAGACGCTTTGCCTGGCGTTTCACGAGCGCTTTGTCCTGGGTTTGTATCCTGGCCGGGTAGGATTTACTGGGTGCAAATTTTTAACTGTAGCCTCTGTTTAATTTAATAGTAAAATGGGTACTTGGTTGTAAAAACAATTCTTCGCGGGGGTCGTATCGTATTCCAGGGACCATAGGATTAAGGATTTGCCCGAAATGCTACACGTACTAGTGGGTGTACGAGAATGTAAGAACTTGTATATATCAATAAAATAAAATAAAAAAAAATAATTAATGTGCGAGTCATATAGTATTATGTTGGTGTTCAAAACATCCAAGAAATAGATTTTAAAATTGGAATTATTTAGACGACGGGTCAGTACAAAATGTATATGATATTGTCGTACCTTGATGATGTGTGGTTGGTGACCAGTGAGGTGCTACTCGAGGCACAGTTAGCGTGAAGGGCCTCCACCTCCTGCCGACGGCTGTTGGCGTGATGACGCGTCACGCTGCCTCCCTCACACTGACCCTTGTTTACAAATATGAAGCACTCACAGGCCTAAATAATATTCTCCCGATCTTAAGATGGGCATGGTGTCTCTCAGTCTTAATTATTTATTTATTTATTTATATACAAGAAGGTACATTGGGTTCATGAGAGTACACAGACTTGAAGTTTTACATTCTGGTAAAGCCACTAGCACGCATAGCGTTTCTAGCAGATCCTTAATCTAACAAATAATCTTAAGAAGGTAATTTCTAGCAAAATTAAAAAAATGCTTAAAGATACATTGTAAGTATAAACATACATTGTAAGAAAGTACAAAAACACAAACACGTAAATTCAGTACTTGAATTTACGTGAGGGATACCATCTCAATACTGGCCTCGACGAAGACAGGATGTCGGCGGTTTGTCAAAGTTCTCTTCCCCCCCCCCCCACTCCATTTGTCCTTGTAGTTTTACCTTGTTTTTAAAATTCAACAGTTTTTTGGCATGTACTTCTTCTGCGGGTAGGCGGTTCCATGGATTATAACCCGATGGCTGAAAAAGCATCTGTTTTCAGTCGTACATTGTGGTTTGTTGCAAGGAGTTTCAACTGTTTCAAGGAGCTTGAAACTGTTACACACAGAAATCACAATTGCGTGATGCATCAAATGAACAAATCTTAAACAAATGATTAAGGCAGCGTCTGGGATGCTCTCGGACGCAGGTTCGAATCCTCGTCACGGCCCTTGTGGATTTGTTTGTTGAAACTGTTGTTCTTTGTCCGTGTTACATCTGACCTTTTGGAGAGTTCGGATTAATATCCACCAAATGGTTCAGTATTTTACAAATTTCTGAGAGATCTGCCCTATCATGTCTGGTTTGCAGTTCCATGGGTTTATAATCCTATAGGTTTACCTGTGTCCCTCTCGGTCTTAAGCCTGGCTTGGAGTCTCTCGGTTTATGGCTACTGTATCCAGGCATGGCGACCTCATTTTCAGAAAGACATGTATCTGCTTTGGAAAAAGTTCGACGCCGAACAACAAAAATCATCTCAGAATTATGTCTTTTGCCTGATTTACCTGTTGTAAGTAAGTCGACTCTCATATTAGGATCAGTTGAAGGCCACAAGATCGACTAACAACACTGCAAACCAGACATGACAAGGATGAGGATTTCAAAAGGTCAGATGTAACACAAGGAGCAACGTTTTCAAGCTCAACAAGCTATAATGTAGGACATAAAACAGGAGACGCTTTTTCACCTGAATAGGGATATAAAGGAACCGCCTACCCGCAGAAGACGTAGCCGAAGCCGTAAATAACATAACACGGCTGCAGTTCAAAATCCAGCTGCATAAAATAATCAGAACAAATCGGGGGTCCTTTAACAACCCGCCGGCTTCCTGTTCTCGTCGAGGCCACTTGAGAGATCATGAGCCTCAGTTAATTTCAGGTATGACTAAACCATGCTGTGAAATAGGGCTATTAGATGAACTCAGTGCAAGCTTTTGATGTATACTGTGTAATCCTTCATGTAGAATAGGGTAGCAGGCTAGCAGCACATTGCTGTGTAGTACCTATATGCTTGTTAATAAACAACAATTATGGACTAATTTAATAATATCAGGGCTAACTGCGTTAACTACTGCGCTATAGTTTCATTGCCAGTTACTAGTTTGTTTTCAGTGTTTAGAATTTCAATGTTACTACTAGAGGTGGAGGTGTGGAGGAACAATGGGGCGGGGATGTAGTTAATGTGGTGGCCCCGGAGAAGTCAGCCCAAGAGAGTGAACACGTGTGGTGGGCCCGGAGAAGTCACCACAAGAGTGTGAACACGTGTGGTGGCCCCGGAGAAGTCACCACAAGAGTGTGAACACGTGTGGTGGCCCCGGAGAAGTCACCACAAGAGTGTGAACACGTGTGGTGGGCCCGGAGAAGTCACCACAAGAGTGTGAACACGTGTGGTGGCCCCGGAGAAGTCAGCCCAAGAGAGTGAACACGTGTGGTGGGCCCGGAGAAGTCACCACAAGAGTGTGAACACGTGTGGTGGCCCCGGAGAAGTCAGCCCAAGAGAGTGAACACGTGTGGTGGCCCCGGAGAAGTCACCACAAGAGTGTGAACACGTGTGGTGGCCCCGGAGAAGTCACCACAAGAGTGTGAACACGTGTGGTGGGCCCGGAGAAGTCACCACAAGAGTGTGAACACGTGTGGTGGCCCCGGAGAAGTCACCACAAGAGTGTGAACACGTGTGGTGGCCCCGGAGAAGTCACCACAAGAGTGTGAACACGTGTGGTGGCCCCGGAGAAGTCAGCCCAAGAGAGTGAACACGTGTGGTGGGCCCGGAGAAGTCACCACAAGAGTGTGAACACGTGTGGTGGCCGCCGCCACTCCCCCGTAAACTGAGTGTAAATATGGCGACGGGGGGAAGTGAGCTTCATGCTAGTGTGCCGGGGAAACCTACGGGGCCTTACGCCGAGGGGGACTCCTCCGAGAGTGAGGGGGAAACTGAACCCGCAAAGTCTTTCCACAGGAGAATATCGACCAACAAGGAAATAAAATGTAGTGTAAGTAGAGTAAAGGCGGGTTGATGTGGTTGGGTGTGGGGCCGAGTCCGTGGTGGAGGGCCTCACTGGTGTGTGTGGAGGGCCTCACGGGGGCACCACTAAGGGCACACAGGCACCAGGATGGTGCCAGTAAGGTGTCCACACTCACATGTTAGGGCCAGGCACCACACACTCCTGTAGGACCACTGACGCACTCACCAACTCCCTCATACTCAACTATTCACGAGTTAAAGTGTCGCTACCTGTAGGAGCGCTCCTCAACACTGGTAAAGTGAATTAAAGTGGTACACTGAGTGTGGCAGTATTGTGGCTCTGTAATGTTGTTTAGTGGTGGTTGTCCTTTGACTAAGGTGCAGCTGGGAGACTGGTGAAGGATGGTATATACCATGACCCGTCCGTCTCAGGTCTTCACAGGTCACGACACTTACTGGTGTCTTCTCTTATGATGGGTCACTCGTGGGTTACTCACTACAAACATACACTGGAAAACCAGTGTAAGGCGTCAGTACACATGTGCCATGTGCCTATGTTACTACCTGGACTTGACCTCATAGAAAGTAAGGGTAGCCTAAAATTATATCTTTAATTGTGCTATAAAACTGGTCCCCAAATTTTCACCACACATCACAAAAGACTACAGTACCGATAGTAATACAGTATTGAGATACAGTATTAACGCTTAGTAGCTCCCAAGGAACAAGCCACCAAACATTCGTTGTCAGATGCAATTGTCAAACCCCACATGATGCTGAACATTAGAGAGTTGTTGTTTTTATAGGAGTGTTGTCTAATAGCATTGAAACAGAGCACATATATATAATGTAGACTGCAATATATACATGGGTATACTGACATAATTTATGTATAAATGGGGATAGTGTCTAGGTGTCTGTATACTGGCATCTAGTGAAGGACATTGTGTACAGCTCTTTTGTAGCCAACTAACATCTTAAGTACAGTATTGATCTACATACTGTACTTAGTTGTGGTGTCATTTTATATATAAAAATCTTTCTATATATACCGGCAGCATTTCTGTATTGGTATTCTATTTTTGAAAACTATAACCTACATTAGTGTGCTGGGGCAACAGGTTCAAGCATACATTTCCTTTTGCTGTTTTTCTATTTTCTAATTTCTTCTTCTGATTCTTCCCTCTGTTTCTCAAATACTGTATATCAATTTTACTACAGGATGTGAGCCATATTTCTTGACAGTGGGTCAACGTGTGCGATAATTTTGACATACACTGCCCTCTCACTAGTCCCTCTTGACCCCTCGTCTCTCGACCGCTTCCTCTGCCTCGCCTCTATTCCCTCTCGCTCTGCTTCCCCTCAGTGGGCGACTGGTAATTTCTGTATAAACATTATATAAATTAAGTAGCCTATGGCACACTTTCCATGTGTTTGCTTAGAAAGTTGGGGTAAGGCTTGCCCCAAACATCTGTCTGGTCTACTATTTTGGACAGACAAATAAGATATTATATTTTATAGATATAGATATGCAGGATTAAAATACCAGACATGAGTTAAGCCTTAACCCTACCAGTGAATGCATAGTTTAAAATTTAGTGTCAAGTGACAACATTGCAAGAAACCAATCATTAATTTCTGCAAGAAGTCGATCATACCTTTTTACTAAAGTTAAGGGGTAAAATCCTATAAGAGGAATAAACACAACTTGAAGAAACAACATTTTGTTTGTATGTGGGTTTAAAGATAATGTATTCACATATGGAGACAAGTAGCAAAATTACCATTCATTCCCTGCTCAAGGCCTGTATGGAGTACAAACTATCTTTTATTAGTTACAGTAGTGGATAAAAAATCTTAGTAATGCTTCAACTTGTATTTGAGTTTGGGAGAGAATATGAATTTACCCAAACATTTATTCTGTAAAACCAGTCATAACTGAAGTTGTTTATTGTACAATATTTAGTAAGAGTACTGTTTTAAATAGTGAGATAATAAATAAATTTAGAGTAACTGCATCATGTCAGCGCATATCTTATTGTATTCATTTATACAGTACAGGTTAATACCAATTCACCTGTTGGTATAAAGTAGTCTTAAAATTTAGAGGTAGCCTAATATGTTTCACTGTTTAAATTTGCTAATCATGTAATAAATAATTGAGATTAAGCTCATAAAGAAAAATGTTTTTAAAAAATGAAATTATGTAGTGTTTGTTTCATTCCAAATTTATTTTTAATTTCAGGTATCTATCAAGGAAGGATTTTTAATGAAACAGACTTCATCATTTCAACGGTGGCGCAAAAGATATTTTAAACTTAAGGGACACAAGTTGTACTATGCAAAGGATACCAAGGTGAGTGCCTCTGTGTTTCCAGAAGTCTTAAGATAATACTATACTGTACATGTACATGAATGAATGAATTAACTCTGTTTCCCACTTTCATAAGGTGGGGGGGGGGGGGCCATCAACCTAGAGGTGTTGCTGTATTCCTGTACTTTATAGGGAAGAGGCAATATTTGCCTTGAAAAAGGTTATGGATATTAAATAAAATGTAATGCTAATTTTGTCTTATGCAGTGTATGTTTAATTATATTACCATTAGAAGTGCTGTTTGCATTTAAAGTTTTTGAAGTATTGAAATTGAAATATATTTTGAAATGCGATATTCTAATGCTTAGCTCTTAAAGTACTTCTGATGCCCTCAAGTGATAGATAGGGCCCAGTTCACCTATTGTTTGTGAGAGATTTAATGTGCCCAGTAATACAGTATTCAAAAGTTCTGAAGCTTCTATGTGGACATTACTCAACACTGGAGACCTCTGACAATGTGCCATATTGGAGAAACATCCTGAAAGCCTTGGTTTCCTTTCTGGGAAATGGGTGAAGTAATTGATACCACATAAGATGCATCACTATACATTTATCAATAGCCATGCTAGGAACTATTGACACCATGCAAAATTTCTAGGATATGTGGCTCTGAAAGTTATTGGTGAAATAAAATGGAATCTATTAGAAATAGTTAACTTGAAAATTCTCTCTCAGAATTTGATGTTTTCGAAAATTCTTTACCTCACTAGTGCCAAAATAAAGGGATTAGACGTCTATATTTTTTCTATTTCACAATGAAATGCTCTAAAATATAAAAGTTTTTTTTTATTCACACCACGAAATTTACTCAACCCTCAAACTGTACACCTTAAGAGATTTCCCATCGGCATATAAAATTTTTTTTTAAACTAATTACAGTGTATATATATTAAACAAGCTGGCACTACATTTTTAATAGTTTTACTGTAATTATAGTTTTTCCAAGTTTTGTGTTTATGTAACTACAAGAAAAATACAGAATTGATGCAACAGAGAAATAGTACTTTGTATAAGGCACAATGTTCTTACAGGCAGGTTATTGTTGATACAAAATTTGTGAAAATGGGGGGGGGGATAAGTTCAGTACTGTGCAGTGGAATTCTCATGTAATGGAATCAAACTTTTGATAGGATTCCAGACATGTTGTATTCTGTTCTGGTTTAGTAGGATTGTTGTCTTGGACTAAAATGTGGTCTGAAAAATAAACGGTACATGCTCCATACTGTATATATTTTTTTTAATAAAAATAAGCTCTTGAACCCTTGAGAAGCCAAATAATATGGCTCCCTTCTTAGCCATATCATTTGGCTCCTTCAAGTAAAATTTCACTGTCCTTGACATTGAGTGCACTGTCAGGCAAGTATAGGGAGGGTTCAACATGCACAACGAAGACCAGTGAAGGTTACCTTCCAAAGAAGTCATCCAGAGAATATACTGACAGAAGGGAAGTTGAGGAATGGGGGAAGATCCAGTCAGATGTACATTGACCAGGACAAGAGTTTGAAAAAAAAATACTAAGGGCAGTAGAGAAAATGTATGGGAAAGGGAGTTATGGGGAAACAAGATGCAAGGCCAGGGCAGGAGGAGGAGGATAATTGATCACAAGATAGTGCCTAATCAGACTGGTAAGGAAAAAGACCAAGGGAATGAATGTTTAACTACTGTGTCAACCAGCACAAATGCCACCCTTTGGAATGTGACTAATCCTAAGTGAGAATCTACACCCTGGGAAGAAACTAAACAAATAGAAATTACTGTACTAGTATAATAATTTGGTACACAAATGCTGATAGCATTACAAATGAAGGGATAGAGCTGTTAGAATGAGGATGCAGTTCTACCAACCATTGTTGATACAGAGGCAAAACTGATGAGAATATTGCATCCTTTATTACAAAGGATGCAGTATTCCTGAGACTGATGGATACCTACTATTATTATAAAGAGGATACCAGGTATTAAGAAAGGATAAAGGGGTAGAAAGGAGTAGCTCAACTGATAAAAGTAGCACTGGAGCTTTAAAGATATAGTTTCTAGGGATAACCAACCAGAAGGTCTTCATACTAGGTATGATAACGGTGAATACCATGAAGATAGGTGGTGTTATTTACAACCCTCCATTTACAACCCTCCATTAACTACAGGAAAGTAAAGGGAGGATTATAATAAATGCAGTGAAACATGGCTGAAGATAATAAAAAAGGCAGCCATAATAGCAAGGAGTGTCAAAGCAAAGATCTTTATACTTGGTGATTTTAACCACAGGGAAATAGACTGGTCAACTAAAGATCTTCATGGTGGAGATCAAACATGGAGAGAAAGATTTGTGGACACTACAGACACACTGTGGCAGCATATCAAGTAGCTGACAAGAGAGGTAGTGATCTACCGGCTACCCTAGACCTGATGTTTACCCAGAATGAAGAAAAGATAGAGAACTTAAAATGAATTGCCACTAGGAGCCAGTGACCATTGTTATGTTCAGTTACATTGTAGGACTGAAAGACTGTCAGAAATAGGATAGAGTATGAGAATACAGAAGAGGGGGGACTACAGGAATGTTAGTGTTCATCTACAGGGTGTTCAACTGAAGACTGAAATGGAAGGAAAAGTCAGCAAATGAGATGATGGAACTTGAATGCAAAGAAGCAACGAAACAGTTCGAGGCTCTTAGGAGGGAAGTGGACGAAAGGAGAATAGTAAGCCAGTGGTTCAACCGTGTAAGGAGGAAAAGACAGATTAATGGAAAAAGTATTGTCAGAGGCAATTAGGGAGGCATTTAAGAGGGCCAGAAATGAGAATATTAGAACCAGGAGGGCAGCAGAGTAGCAGTTTGAAAATGACATTGCATTGAAAGCCAAGAACCAACCCGAGCTGTTGCATAACCATATTCAGAGGGGGAAAAACAACAGTACAAAACAATGTAATCAGACTGCACAGATGGGGAGCTAATCCTGGAGAATGGCCATGAGGTATGTGAAGAACTAAAGAGGTTCCTAGAGGTATTCAAACAGGTACAAGATTGGTGTCTTAAGAACAGGTGACAACAGACAGCTAGAAATGGCCAGAATTGAAGTTAATGTAGAAGAGGTAAAGACACCTGCAGGAACTTGATTTAGCAAAAGCAGTAGGACCAGACATCACCATAGTTATTGAAGGAAGCTGTAGAGAGATCTTGTGTTATCCATTATCTATACCGTTCAACATTACAGTACACTAGTGATAGAAGAGCTTCATAAATCGGAAAGAGTAATGTAGTTCCAATATTCAAGGGGACAGATGTGAAGCACTATAGACCTGTGCCATTAACATGCATTCTGTGCAAATTGTAAAAATAGTTATGAAAAGGATTGTATGACACTTCTCAAATTCAAATAAGTTTATCGAGGTATAAATACACATAAAGGTACGAGGTAGCGCAAGCTATTCTCACCCCCTGCATATTAATGTTTTATTCTTGGAGAGCTATTCATGCTATTAATATTCTTGTAGCGTAAATCTTATATCAGCCATAACACAGCTTCGGAGATGGAAAGTCATGCCTAACAAACTTGAATTATATAATAGCCACCAAAATAAGACAAGAGAGGGAAGGATGGGTGAACTACATCATCTTAGACAGCCAGAAAGCTTTTGATACAGTTCCTCATCCAAGACCAATATAAGAGGAGGAGAAACAAGTAGGGATAGCAGGATAGGTACTGGACAGGAAATGAAGGGTCATAGTCAGAGGATAAGTCAGGCTAGAGACAAGTGGAAAATGGTGTTCCATAGGGTTCTGTCCAAGTACATTGCTCTCTCTAATTTATGTAAATGACCTTCCAGGAGTGAGCTCTTAAATGTTGATGTTTGCAGGTGAAGTAAAGTTAATGAGGAGAGTAAGAAGTGAAGAGGACTGCAAGAAGACCTTGATGATCAAGAGTGGGCAGATAAATGGCTGCTGGAATTCAAAATAAGTGTAAATTAATGAAAATGGGTAAGGGAGATAGGAGTCCTCTATTTAATTATGCCATAAAGGGAAGGCAATTATAAAAACCAATAAGAGAATGAGAAACCCATCCTCCTGTTTAGTTACAAAAATTACTGTTCACTATAGTACAAAGATTGACATGCTAAGCAATTAGATAGTTGAATTTTGTACTATTCACTTTATAAGAGTCCAAAAAAATGAAGCTAAAAAATAAATATTGAAAATAAATATTCCTAGGGATAATATAGCACACACATGTACTGTACTATATTAGGCCTAGGAAGGTTAGTTTAGTTTGTCTTTGCAAAATATAAAATCTTTTCCAGTTCGTCCAAATTCAGTAGTACTGATTTCTACTTTCTAATTGCATTGTACGGCGGTATATGTACTATGGCCCTCATCGCTACTACAAGTACATTTCAGTACTACCAAAACAAAAGGATGGGCTGGAATTGGGAGTAAGTTTGTATAACTTTTTGTTTGTGATGTTGGATTATTACTTAAAGTACTTTTCCCACAGTTGACTTTAAAAGTAATTGGATGGATAGCCAGTGATTTTTATATCTAAAATTTAGTATTACTGCACATTCACATCCACAATAATTCTAGAACAGTGCCCAACTCTTCCTTATATTTTAAAACTGTCAAATATTGTCAAGGCTTGGGGACTTGTTTGTTTTCTATTTACTGTACTTATTAACTACTCTCCTAGTAATTTTTTGATCACTTGTCGTCACTCCCCTCCATAAATTTGTCTGACTTCAGAAAAATGTTAAAGTTTCTAGTACTTTTTAGACGGAGATAAAAAATAACTACAGTATTTAAAGTACCTCCCATTTCTTCAGGCAAGATGATGGAAACTTCTGAATGGGTGGATCATTCTCCTCTACAGAGGGACGGAGGAACTGAACCCATGTTGGATGTACTGTTATGTCATTGACATGCTCCTCTGGGGTACGTCGGACTCTCCAGTCACAAATAATCACCACCAGCTTGCTGGCTCGAACCCAAC